ACAGCCTGTTTTCTTCCTTAGGGCTTTTGCGCTTCTGAAAGTCTTCTCTGTAATAGCAGCTTAGCGTCTCTGCAGTACCAATGTAGACATGTCCCTGAGAAAGGAGAGGGGATTCAGGGTGCTGCTCACCCAGGGACTCACGTCCGGGGTGGAAAGACGTGGTGCTCCTCAGAACAAGTAGGGAAACCCCAAGATTTTACATTTCACGTTTGGATAAACATTTTCCAATTTATTATCAATCTTAATATTTTCAAAGTGAGAAAAGAAAATTAAGGACTCTCTATCTTCCCATTTAGAACTAGAATTATATTATTAGCAATTCCACATCATGAAAGCTGATACACTACATGCTTCTGTCGGTTTTTCCTTAGACAGGTACGGTGACTTCACTTTGAAGGGAGTTACCAGAGGGAAGCTGAGTCTCTGGAGACAAGCGCAGCACCCCAGGGAACTGACTGTCCCTGGGAGGTCTGCGGTTTTCCCAGGGCGCGAAGGGGATCACTCCCCGGTTATGGAAACGTGTGATGGATCCTGACTTTAGGGAATCAGCAAAGGTACAGGCGTTGTCATCCTACTAACTTTCATGAGCTAGAAAGTTCGTCAGTCTCTTTTTGTGCTTCCAGGCTGTTATTCTCAAAATCAGTTGTACTTATCTAGAACAGAAAAAAAAATTGTTTAGATTTTGTATTAGAATTTGGGATAAATAAGGTCTCTTTCTACATATCAGCAATGAAAATAAATGCCAGAAGTTGCTCTGGGATACTGACCTAAGAAGTGGTGCTAGATTCTCATGTAACTGTGTGTGGAACAAGAGCTGCAGGAGGATTAAAATGAAGACTGTAATAGGAAACTGTGACCTGCTTTGTGAGTATGACGATAGTACGAGACGTGAAAGAGGATGGAGGGAAGAATGCATGCAAGTACTTGTAGCTGTGCCTTGACTGTGTTGTGTTAGAAGAGCAATTCAGTCTGCGGCTACCCGCTATGAAGCAGGAAATAATCTCATGGGTCACTATGAGATAGTCTCCTTCTATTGTCCCCTGCACCTTTATAATAGGCTTTTCATGTGGAAGAATAGGGTACAGGGGGCAGGTGGGGAAAAGCTTAGGGAAGCACCCGGCACGCTGAATTTAAGTCAAAAATATCAGAACAAACTCAAACCCTGAAACAGTAGCCAGCCCCATAGCCGTGGGCACCACTGGGGTGTAGGGTATGTTCTTGAAATAAACTAGGGGTTCTTGGAGACAAACAGGAAGTTAGAAAGGTGAACGTGGGACTCGATGTCATCCTCGGAATGAGGAAGGTTTGCCAAAGGTGAAGAGAGTCATGTCCAACGGATCCCATGGGCCAACTTGGAACAGTTCCCAGTGAGAACAGTTGGGGCAGTTTGACTTACAATAAAAGTAATCATTGTAATGGACTTAAGTCAATCAAATAGGTTGAAATCCTTCCGTAAACTATAGTCACACACTTTAAAGTAGTAATGGGTCACCTTAAATGGTGACAGAAAACAATTATATTTCAATTATAGAAATCAAGGTTAAAAAAAATAAAGGATGCATCTTACTTTTCCCAAATGAATAATTACGTTATTCTTATGTTACTACAGAATAACCAAATACAAGTGGGGAAATACCTCGTGTAAAACATTCCAACTAGTGAATAAAAATGACAGCTTTGCAAACTGAGCAAATCAATGGTCGAAGCAATGACTGTCAGTACCACCAATAGCATCAAAAAGAGAGAGACACAGACAGGGCCATCCGCCTGTGGTCTTGCAGGGTCTCGGAGCTGACTCTGATGATCCTCTGGGTCCGGCTGCAGACCTGCAGGAAATTCTGAGCCAGAGAAACATGCAACTTTTAAACAGTCCCTGATTATATCGTATTGCAATAGTGATTGTGGAACCACACCGAGAATGTGCTCTTAGCCAAGACCCAGACTCCAGGAAACTCCAGGACAAATGGTTCTTTCATGAGAGAAAAGACAGGGAAAGCTGCAGACCCAAAACCATGAAAGGCAGTGCCCAGAAATCAGCTAGACACTCTCTCCACATTATTCCACCACATCTAACTCTATCAAAGTTGAGTTGAACCTCCAGAGTTGAAATCCGTGTTAAAGTGTACAATTCTAGAAATATTTTTAAAGTTAAATTTTAAGACCAAAAAATCATCTGTGTAGTTTGACTATTTAAGTGTAGTTTGAATATTTAAATGTATTTACTTTGATAACACATTCAGTGGAAAATAGTTTATTTGTGGAGTCAAATGTATTCAGTGGTCAAACAATAAAACCACCAAGAAGCTTTCTCAGCTCATTTTTTTTAATGCAGACTCCATGTAACTATATTACCCATTCCCTCATATCAGTCCCTCATCCCTGACTGTTACTGATGTATTTCATAGAATTTTGCATCTAACATTCCTTATCATGAAATAGATCCATCAAGCATGTTTGTATTTCAGGTGACTGTTGGGATCTCTTGGTGCCGGTAGAGGGCACTGCAGAGCAACGTAGTTCTGAGTTTCTTGTGGCTGGAAGAGAAGGTCCTTTGCCAAATAATAGACAAGTGCAAAGCTTTACTGCAGTGACAAGAGAAACTGGAGTCATAATGACAATTACTCTAGGCCTTCTTTATGTCCTGGGGAAAAGAACATTTAAATATATAAGTGTGTGTCTGAGCTATCAAACATAGATTGTAGATGTGTGCATGGATGGACAGACGGGCGGATGGCTGGATATACCTACTTACCACCCCTGCTCAGAAAGACTTGTATCTCCTTTCTTCACTCAGAGACTGAATTGAAGTTTACCTATTACAGTATTTATTCTCCAGCTACTTCTACTGTCATTTTAAAAAAAAAAAGTTCTCAAGTGCTCTTGTACCAATGGCTACTGTATTTTGTTTTAATCAGTTCAATTTAGGGCAAAGACGACCTGAGAGGGCTTCAGCCATCTTAGAGCAGAAAGCGCTTTGGAAACGGGATGACAGACGCCGTCCCCAGTTCCTGTGAAGGGTTTCCTAACGCGAAGACAGTTGTAGGCAGCCCCAATGCCAGGTGACCCCTACGTGACTGAGTTGATTCCATCACCGATGCCGACCGAGGCTGACCTGGGCAGATCGTCACCTTTCAGAGGTGAAAGAAGAGCAGGCTGCGCTCTTCTCTTCTAACGGAGCCGTCTTGCTGAAGGCGGGCTTCCTTCCCCGGGGGTGTGCATGCGGGAACCCGGGGAACAGAAGTTCCAGCACTCACCAGTGCTGAGTGGCTTGTCTCCCAGAGCGGCTCAACACCGTGTGCGGCAGCTGGGCTGTCCCTGAGTCCATTGCGGAGGTCACGCGGTGATGGGGGGTGGGGTGTCAGGCAGGTTCCTCAGATGGTTCCCTAAGCAGCCTTGTGCTCTCCCCTAAAAATGGGATGCCAAGAAAATGACACCCACTCTGGTCCCCGCATTCATTTATTCTCCTAAGAGTTTGAAGTGAATAATGAGACCAGTTTGGGGTTTTCATTATTGAGAAAAACCTGAGGGGGAACGTGCCAAGGTGTTCTGTGACCCGTCTTCTCTTGATCTCGGATCTGTGTGCCACTGTGGAGAAGGTGCCTGTCGCCAGGCTGTCTGGGGTATTAGGTGCGGCTGAAAAGACCAATCGGTGTCTGCCGCTCTTCTCTGTTGCTGGCCAGAGGGACACTGGTGGACATTATGGGTCAGTTTCTGGGTTTACATGTTGATGTCCCCACATTGGCACTTGACTTCCCTAGCCCCTGTTTAAAAGAAACGCCATGGTCTGTGCTCACCGGATAGGGTTGTCAGGTCTTTGCTGTTGGTCAAAGCACCAACTTCAGTACCTCAGAGCTTTGACGCCACAGAGCCCAGCATTTAATAAAGCAAGTTGCACCAAATTTACCTCCCGTAAGTCCATACTTCCAGCCTCAGCCTTCACCCACCGCCTCATTTGCTGATGAAACTCTGAACCTCCCTCCACGGCCCAGTTCAACTGCCCCCTGCCTTACGTGTCCAGTTTCAGGCATGCTGGTCTCCCCACCCGCGACGGCCTCCAGCCCTGCTCATCTTTCCTGCTGTACAGATCTAGCTCTTGTCTAGTGTACATATCTACTGACCATCTCGTGCTGTGAGTCTTGCCTCTTCACTAGGCTTTCCAGGGAGCAAGAGCTCTGACTCCTGCTTACCCTGGAAGTGCAGTAGTCACTATTGTCGCCTTCACGCGCAACACATCTATTCCAGTCTGCCGCCCAAGTAAGCAGGTGCTTCCCCGCTTACTATCTTCAGTCTGACTACTAGAGTGACGGTGTCTCATTGCTCATTGTGATGCATCTTCAGAGGATGTAGCGCTTCCCTGTTCTCTCTCTGCCCTCGTCCTGCTCACTTGGCTCTGAACCCCAGTCACCAGCCTGACAGCTGCAGGATCGAGCGGGACAGATCTGGGAGTGTATCTTCTGGCTTACCGTCAGGTTTGGGTTTTTTTTCTTTTTCTTTTTTTTATTTTTTGGCTAGCTCTTTTCCCAGGGGTAATTTCACTATGGCCATCCAGGAAGAAATCTTGAGAGCTCATCTTTGTTTCCATGCCGTGGGCCAAGTGGCTCCTACACTCCTGATTCAGATCTGCGTTGGGTCCCAGGCCAGGAACCTGAGACAGATGTGTGCGGGTTCAAGAAGATTTTACTCAGCACTGACAATACAAAGTGCAACATTCCTTCCCCCAACATTAACTTCTCTGGAGACTAGAAAGTCCATGTGGGGAAGGATGATGCTATTACTCGCTAGCCAATATGTCACCGGCTAGCAGTGACACGTGGCCCACATGCTTGGTAGCAGTTCTGTCCAAGTGAAAATAACAGAAGAAGATAAAGTGAAAAGATAGAGTCCATCGTATGAAGAAGAAACATATAAAATTAATGTTTATATGTTTTATGTATTTAATGATTTGTCAGTATATTATCCCTTTACACTCCAAAATTTATGTCTTACTCGTTATTTTACAGCTACGCAAGTCTGTTTTCAGCATCAGGGCCAGGAACCTTCTGGAAAAGGAGACTGCAGTCACTAAAATCTTAAGGTAACACCACTAGCCTTTGGTATGTATTTATATGCAAGTGAGATTATGTTAAATAAAATTGAACATTTTTTTAAGGGACTAAACATCAAAGTATCCAGATACAGTTTCTACTAAAGAATAGGTTTGAGTATCTGTGTACTTAAAAATACTATCAACCGCATCTTTACTGTGTCTCCTCAAAGAGCAAGATTTTGTTAGTTCCAGTCATTTCTTTTCATACACTTAAACATAAACTGTAAGTATAATATTTACAAAAAGGTCAAATTACTTTTATTCTTATACGTGTTATATCTTTGTAATATCTGAAGAACAAATCACAATATAAGGGGGAAATGATAAAAAGGTAAGTTTTTTTAAAGTTAAAGAATTCTCAGTTTATTCACAGTCCATTCATTTAAACCAATAAGACTCAAAAAACCCATTTTAAAGTGCTTATGAAAAAATGTGCCTTTAATGTTTCCTCTCTGAAATCGGCCTTGAAACAAAGCGTCAGAGAGGGGAGTTAGGCTTATAACATCGAGTAGCACAATCTTCACAAAGATGCGTACACACTTGAAACACAGCTCAGCGATACCTGTTCTACCGGAACTTACACACACGGCACACTAAAAATTGGAAACTGGAGGTGGAATGGCTGACAGGGAAGTAGATAAATTCACACCATTCATACCGGGAAGCCCGCTCTAAGCTGGAGCGCAGCGGAAGGACATAAGTTCTCCTCTATTCTGCCGTCTTGGCTAGGAGCAGTCCTTAAAACTTCTCACCAGAATGCCTGACACTGTCACCTGGATAAATGCAAGGGAGGAAGTAGGCTTGCTGTAGATGAGTTGAGAACCTGTTTGCTAAAACAATCCCAACGCGGACACAGCTACACCTCTGCTCCTTGCATTGGCTGATGAGACGTGGTCTCCTGAGCCTGTGGTGGGCCACCTTTCGTGACATGCTTATTGCTTGGGCTTATGTATCTCACCATAGAATTTGATGAGATGACCCTGAAAGGTTTCATTGAAATCGAGAAAGGGAAACTTCTCAGTAACAGTATAGTGACCTGTGTCCTGACTTTGACTTGGTTCCAGCTGGTGTGATCATCAGATAATGCCAGAGCCTGGCCTTGAACTCTGCCTGGTGCTTAGGGATCTTTACTGATGCTGAAACCACGCTGGCTGGCTCCTGGCAGCCAGATCTCTAGCCTCGGCATTGAAGGCCCTGCCCTAGTCCCACAGGGCTCACAGTGTGCTGGTCCAACCCAGCAAAGTGTCCGAATCTCCCAGGGGAGAGACGTCTGCCTCACGTCAGATGACCCACCAGGGACTTACAACACTCTGAGCCTGTTCTCAGATTCTGTGGCTTCATTCCTGTGTGAAATACAGAGAAACAGCAAAGCATCAGACAAAACCAAACCAGTAACAAACCCTAGAAGTCTGACTTGGAACTGAGACGCCCAGAGTGGGGTGGGGAGCGGGGAGGGGACACCATGGACTACGGTGGAGGACAGTGGGGCTTTGGTGGCGTGTGTGTGAGTGATATACACCTACCTACAGGGTGTGAACCTGGATCTCTATGAATGGTATACAGTTTTGTAAGCCGAAATCACCTCAATGGGAATAAAATAGAATCGACCTGTCAAACTAGGAACCCAAATGACCTGACTCACCTGCTCAGAATAACTGTCTTCCAGCACAGGTGGATATGCTGGAGGGCTTCCCAGAGACTTCCAGAACATTGGAGTTATGGGTACTTGGAAGGAAGTGATTCCAGAGTCTCACCTCCCTATCAGCTCTTCCTTAATCTGGTCTTCAACTTGTCCTTCCCACCAACTTTCCTTATTCACTTCTAGTTACAAAGGGAAGGCAAAACTCAGTGTCACCAAAATAAAGGTGAACCCATGGTCTAAATTGCTCTAGAAGGTAAAATCTTCTGGTGCCAAACTGTCCCCAAAGGCCTGCTCCAGAGTTAGCTGATTGGTTGGGCATTGAAAAAGGACTTGATGGCTGGGAGTGCCAGCATTGAGTGATACTCTCCACGCTTCCTCAAAGTCACGGTAAAGCACTTACACGGTCACGTTAACATTGTATTCTCATTGCTCATTATCATACCAGGAGGAACTGTGTTCATCTTTCAATGTTTAAAAAAGAAAAGTCATGAAAGAAAAGTCATGGAACATCTGAACAAAATGGAATGGAGGGAATGGAGAGGTTCTCAGACTCGCCCTGCAATTGTGTAGTTAGAGAGACACCTGCACCATTAGCATTGCAACCCAGCCCTGAGCACCTTGGGAATGTGTGAGCTTCGTTCCTCTGCCACTTTTAGGACATACGGGACAGAAATTAAAAAAACAACAGTCTTTTTGTTCAAAGGGGATGCAAGCTTGATCTTTAGAAAAACTCTTCAGCACTTTTCTTCTGTAAACGTGTTTACTTGCTGTGGCTACATTAGTCTGTGCAAGAATTGAGGGTGAGTGCAAGGTAACAGATAGGTGGTCTCCAAGGGGGATTCACCTGTGATGATATAGCAAAGATAGCGGAGCTGATGGTGGTGATGAGGATGGTGTTGGCAGTGATGGTGATGGTGATGATGGTGGTGTTACTGATGACACTGGTGGTACTGATGATGGTGGTGATGGTGCTGGTGCTGTATAATTAGTCTCAAAGTTAGAAAGTCAAGAATAGATTGTACCCATGTCTGTGGGTCCTTGGCATGTTTCTAGTCATTTTTACATGAGGGAGTGCTCTGTTCCAAGGATCTCAGTGATGTCTCAGAAGACTGAATGCAGGAGGATGTGTGTAAGGCCACGGGCCCCATGCTTTAGGACTGAGATCTGGTTGAAAGTGGCTGTTCAGGGTACACCTCTGGTAGCTGTTACCTATTATGGACAGACAGCCTGTTCTGACCTGGGAGGGCCGGATGGGGTGTGCGGGGCAGGGGGACTTCTTGGCCTTCCGCTGTGCTTGCCATCCCCGGGGCCCAGCATTTCAGGGGTTGTTTACTCAGATGGAGTTGACATGTTGGTTCCTCTTTCTTTCTTGACTTGGGGTGATTTCTGAGAAGTGGGAAAATAAAAGGTAACTTTTTAACAGCCATCTTCACTCCAAATATTTCTATTCCCATTTATGTCTTTTGAATTTTTAACCCATAAACATGTATCGCCTTAAAAATTGAAGTACATCTCATTTTTAGAAACAGCGTGAAGAAAATTATTTAAAATTGATGGGCCTATGTGGACGGGGTCTTGGCCAGAGACTTGATGAATACCAATTCCTTTCAGGTGGTTGTTTGATGGGTTGCGTGAACTATAGAGAAAGCGTCTGGTCCACTCCTCCGTAGTTCAAACAAATGGATTTTCAAGAAGTTCCCGACGCTAAAGATGAAATTACTTAACTGGTTAACGGCCCTGAATTCCTGGACAAGAACTTCCTGGTGTGAATAGCCGTCACATTGATGGAAAGCCCTTGGTTCTTGGTCCTGATAATTAAGCTTCAGGGCTGACAGTGGTCTCAGAGGACCCACCTTTCAAATATCTATCTTCCTTTGAAACAGAACCCACATTATTCCAGCCAAGAGTATGTTCTCAGCCTCACTATGAACAGGAAATTCAAGCCCATAAAGGAAAACATCTTTCAGAAAGGGCCCGGGAGGCTGAGGTATTTGAATCTTTGGTGGCACGGCCGTTCAGCCTTTTCAACACACCATCATCTTTAATTTGCGTCCTTCTGCCTATGAGGTTTTTCCATGAGCTGATGTTTTGAGACATAAGAATGAATTTCTGGGTATTCTTGGAATTCTCTGATGAGAAACTGAGCTGGTCACTTCTACAAATTTGAGAAGACTTTGGTATGTTTTGAGCAGGCAGTTCCTTTGGTGCAAACCGGCAGCTCTGATGTATTTTTCAAGACGTGTCTACAGGGCATTGTGAGAGCGGGGATGTTCCACCACGCCAAGGTCGCGATTACATTCGCTGCTGTTTTGATTTGGGCAGCTCCGTCCAGCTGCACTCAAGCTTCCTTCCAAAGGTAGTGACCTTTTCACTCCGGCAGATGAAAGCAAAACAAATAGCAGTGTATTCTCAAAAGCATCGCTGTCCCGTGGAGCTTTCTCTAATTCAGAACCCTGAAATTGAGCAAAATGCATTATCGTTCCTGCTTGGCTGAGTGAAGGAGAAATGTCAAAATAAAAGAATTAAACATTTTACAGTATTTTAGAAAGTACTGTCCTTTTGTGGTTTGTCATCAGTACCTCCTTAGCCAAGATGGTCTCTCGAGGACCTTCGTGGAGGCTCAGTCTGGTACAATAGTTACATTCTGATATTTGGAGCTCTGACATTTTCCTGGCCATGCCCCAATATTAATGATTTTGTAAAAGACCAAGGACTCATCTTCAGTCGAATGCTGCTTTGCTCCAAGAAAAAAATATATATATATTTAATGACAGATAGAGAATTTGTCTTTCTTTTATCATTCTAAGATAATCATTTTATTGACTGTACATGTAATTTATATACCTCTTACATATGAACTCGTACTTTTACCAATAGGGTTTTGACCAACATTAGCTGGATTTTCCTTCCTGAAATAAAGCCCTCCTAAGACATGCTTGCAATCACTCACTCAAGAATATTTCTGCAGCATCTTCAGTATGCCAGGCCTGTCCTAGATACGGGGCACAGATTAGTCAGTCAAGGAGTTCACAGCGTTGCCTTTAGAAAATGTTTAGGACACTGGTTAGCCTTAGGAACGTCAACAGGAGCTGTAGTTTCCTGACCACAGTTGTGACAAGAAAATTCATTTGTAGCATCGTCAGGACTCCCTCAGTGAGTGACTAACTGTCCAAAGGATGTGTGGAATGAGCAAGAGTCCCAGCTCTGCTGCTCACACCTGACAGCGGGGCCCAGACTGCTGTTTTATGCCAGGGGTGTAGGGTTTGTAGATTATTTTTAGGCCAGTGCCCAGGTGCCCTGGTTATGGATTAGGAGAACTATTCTGGAAGTCTATTGTATCATATTATATATAAGTCTATTATTATGGAGAACTATTATGTAACAGATGCAGAAAGAAACTTTTGAAACCAGGTTTTCTTTGACTGTTTTATCCATGGAAGGTAAGGGGATAAGTACTAGAGAAAAGTCATCCCTCTCTGTGGAGGGAAGGGAGTGGTTGGTTCAGTTTACGCCACATTTGCCAGATTTTCCTTCGACTGAACAGTTCTGTCTTTGCATCATAATTTACATTGCCCTGTCTGCGTCAGTAGTCTCATTACTAAACTTGTACCAGGTGAGCGTTTCCGAAGTTTTATTTAGTGAATTTTAATAGCTGTGCTAAAGGCATGGACTCCCATGAGTTAATTTTCTTTTTCATTCTGCACATCCAAGAAGGTATTAGGCTTCCGGGGTTTTTCCGTCTACAGTGAGGCCCTGGGTGCCCAGGTGTGTACCTGCCTAGATGTGATAACATTTTTATTAATAACACCAGGTTGTAAAGCGCGAGTCTCCTCTGCTAGATAGAAACCTAGAGCGCCGTTACCTTGACGCACAAAGGGGACTTTGCTACAGTGAAAATGCAGCTTCTCCTCACCTCAGCAGGAGCCGTGATGCAGGTGCTCCCCTTCTGCACCCCCTTGTTTTCGCTGGACTTTCGCCTGCATCATCCTTGCAGAGTCCATCAAGAGTCTGCTTCCAGGAAATCCTTTTCCGCAGCCCCCCAAGTCTTACCTAATTACCGTGGGAGGCTACTGCCCTGCTTTCAGCTGATGTGATTGCCTTCTAGGACCAACACCTTGCCGTGCCTTGCCTCGTGGAGCTCGAGGTTTGCGTGAAGTGCCGGGATGCGGCACTCTGCAGCCTCGGCCGGCTCCTGCAGACGCTATCACGCTAATGCCAGATGGTGTCCCGTAATCTCACGTGGATAATGAATGGAAAGAATCTGAAGACTCAAAGGCTTCTCTCTTTCAGTGCAGAATGTGCAGGCGTTTCCCACACCCTTGTTCTGGAACATTAGGAAAGAAGCCATGGAGGCAGAGAAGAAAGAAACCGAGGACACCCCCCCCCGCCCCCGCTACGGTTTCCATAAACAACAAGTGGTGTTTAAAGGCTAATAAAGCACCAAAGATCTCTTACAACCGTCGTCTTTGGGCCAATTTAAAAATATTTTAGATGGAGAAATGTCAAGAAAAATAGAGACAATTTCTTAAGACGCGATTCTCCTCCCTCAACCTCCATAAAAGATTATATATATGGCTGTCATAGAAGGAGTGATTGAAATCCCACATCACAAAGGCAATGCAGAGGGAAAAAAGAGAGAGCGAATCAATCTTTCATATGCTTTTTTCAAAGGCTTGGCAAGAAACCAGGGGTAATATTTTTGCAACTGGGAATGTGTGTTTGCTGAAGAATATTCCCACATTTGAGTCATCATCAGGGGTCCTAGTCTTGTTTTACTTTCAAAGGTAGAGAGGGCATAGCATTAACCCCAACTGGGAAAAGGAAAATGCCTCACTGTAATTCTCCTCCAGGGAGCAGGAATAAAGGGATTACATATGCCTGCATAATGGAGAATTTCCTCACCAGACAAGACAAAAGACTTCATTCTTTTCACCAGACACTTGAAGCTTTGTGCCTGCCCATTCCAGAAGCCAAGCAGGCTGACCAATTTTATTTATTTTTTATATCAAGCCGCTAGATGGAGTTTCTAAGAACGTGGCCTTCTGGTGCTGGCTTTAGAAAGAGCTACAGAAAAGACACGGAAACCAAGCGCCGACTGGCCTCGCTCTGTGAGAAGCAAGATTCCCCAACACCACTGTACTGTGATGCTTCCCCCTGCCAGCCAGTGCATGGGCAATTCCTTCCTGAAAGCATATTCCTTTGTCCTCATAGAGAACAAAAGGCATCTAAATTCTACTGAAAAACTTGAAAGCGGGCCCTTCCTGGTAGCGCAAGGGGTTGAAGCGCAGCACTATGAAGCTGTCCACAGCCACTGCAGCACGAGTTCGGTCCCCAGACAGGGAGTGACCCACACAAAACAGCAGACCTCTCCTGTCTCCCTGCTGCTCCCCTCAGCAGTGGATTTCAGTCAGTCCACCTATCCTGCCCTCCCCTCTGTCTCTGGTGAATCATCTTACCCTCTGAAACTCTGACCTGTACCCCAGTTCTTATATGCATAAGTAAATACAAAAAAAAACTTGAAAGTGGCAAAAGAGTGCCGCTTAGAAGGTCTACTGGGTGGTGCCCTCAGGGCTGCTGTTCATCTTCTGTGGGGGAAATAGTACAAGTCTCCGGTGTGCGCAGCCATTGACCTGCACAGCCATGCAGCAGGTGTCACTTTGAAGCGAGTGCAGGTCTGCTTCTGGCTGGCCTGCAGCTTCCCGAACGCCTCACACCCACCAAGGATAAAGTTGTATATGTGTCTGCTTGCAAGGAGCAAAGTCTGCTTTTTTTTCATTACTCATCCTAGCCGGGCAGCCCGTTCCTTGAGTGGCTTAGTATTCCAGCTGGAGGTGGAATTAAGAGAACTTCCTTTGAAAATGCCTTTTCCCAAAACACAACTTTGTTTGTGATGGTTTCCAAGCTTCATCAACATGAAGTGATCAAAAAAAGGAAGTCAAAAATTCAACCATGACAGAAATTTAATGTTCGTTCATGGAGCGAATATTTATCGAGCACCTGCTGTGTCCAGGGAAGACCATACTCACGCAGGCGCACCCTAGTGTGGTGTGCTTCCTTACCTGTTTCAGAGTGCACCTGTGCCAGGCGGCCTCCAGCCCATGCCCTGCTCCCACCTCTCCTCCCATTCTGATTTATACCCCCTTCCTTAGTCCATTGTGGGCCCGCTTGTTTTCTTTGTGATGAATTGATGTATCTGTAGAAACATTGTTTTTTCTGGCGCACCCCCTGTTTTGATTTGTACGTGGAGGGGGGATGATTGTAGATCGGTTATTAGGTATAACTGATAAAGTATGTAGAGAGAATTCTCTTTAATCTTAAGAAGTTCCCACCCCTGGACTTAGGGAGGGGGAGCCTCAGGAGCCTTCAGGTGACAGCCTTTTAAGTGCTCCCACCCAACAGTTGCCTTCACCAAGATGTTTATGTAGCCTTTTCCTAGACCAGCATGCCTCTTAGTTTTCAGTTAAAAAAAAAAAAATCATTGGTGGGATGCAAACTAGTACAACCACTATGGAAAACTGGAGATTCCTCAAACTGCTAAAAATGGAACTTCCATAGGACCCAGCAATCCCACTCGTAGGAATCTACCCAAAAGACACAGAAACACTGATTCAAAAGGACACCTGCACCCCCATGTTTACTGCTGTTTTATTTATAATCGGGAAGACATGGAGTCAACCCAAATGCCCAATAGTAGACGACTGGGTTAAAAAGATGTACAGATACATGATGGAACATTATTTAGCAATCAAAAAAGATAAATGTACACCTTTTGCAGCAACATAGATGGAGCTGGAAGGGATCATGCTCAGTAAAATAAGCCAGAAAGAAAAGGAAAAATGACAGATGGTTCACTCATAGCAGGAGCATACAGGACCAGGGCAGGAGGGGATAATAATCATGAACAACTATATACCAGAGACATTTTACGGATGGGGAATGGGATCAGAAACGGTGGGGGGAGGGAAATGCACTGGACTGTGGTGATGGCACAATGGGTGATTTGGTGATGGGAAGCCCACGGGGATGACAACTGAGATGGAAAAAGGTGCAAAATGATGTAAAAGTAAACTACTATATATATATATTTTAAATGATGCCAAAAAACAAAAAAACAGCATTTACCTATAGAGTTTCTTAGCACAAAAGTCATGGGCAACTCAAAGGAACACCTGAGTGCTAGAAGCGTTTGGACACGAGGAGACTCAGCAAGCGCTGCTGAGCGAAGGTGGAGACTGATTACCTGTGTTGTGGCACCAGACTTGGAGGTGGAGGACTGGGCATGGGGTTGGCACAAAGATGACCTCATAACCCCAAGCCAGGATGGCCTTGTCTGCCTGGTTTGACTTTGCTTAAAGTGAGTGGGTACCTTCAGGGCCTCCAAGAAGGACAAGATGAGGAAGATGACTTTCCTCAGAGAACAGGAGGACTCTGGCAGGGCCTCTCAGCTCACTGGAGACTTCCAGCTCCCATTGGAAACTCCCAGAGCTTGAGCCTGACTCAGGCCCAGAGTGCCTGAGGGCTAAACCCTCCTTTATTCTCCGGCTTGAAAATGTGTCTCACGCAGTGAGAAAGGAGTGGGCATCTACTCTCGCTACTAATTCCAGCTTCAGTGGCTTCCCTTTGCTGTTCATTTTTGCCTCCAACTTTAGGCTTTCCTGTGTTTAAGTGCTGCAAAATCTCCGTGAGGTCTATATTCCATCACCCACAAGGCTCTAGGCAGACCGATCCTCCCCTAAGGCCTTTCATTAGAAACTCACCCCCCCACCCCGGTCTAAATGCAAAACCAGCAGTATAGCCCCCGTGTGTAAACTGACCCCTCTGCCTCAGGACCTCTCGGACTGCGGTTGGGAGATGGGGCCAGGAGCTTCTGTTGATTTCCCAACATCTCTCCAGAATGAGCTGGCTGGGCTTGGAAGTGCGCTGACACGGAGCCTCACATTCATGTGTGATTATGTGTCATTTGCTCTATTTTTGCCTTATCCTTGGTGTTTTCTTAAAAATAGTGAAAGTAACAAGCAGACAGTTAGGTATTATGCATCCCAAGTGTACGGATCATGCGTTTATCTCGGGCTCCTTTCTTCCCCCAGAGCGTGTACTCGGCAGCGCATGCTGAGTGGATCATTTGAGGGGCAGCCTGCAAAGGAGAGATCGATTCTCAGTGTGCAGCATCACATCCGTCAGGAGCGCAGGTGAGTGCGTGCAGGGGAGAGCAGGCTGCAGGAACGCGAGGAGGGATCCTGGCAGGGGGCGCGGAAGGTGGTAGGAGACCCTGAGCTCAGCCTGACCGTGGTGACCTGCATGCAACTCACCTCAGGTGAAACCAATCTTTGCAAAACCTTTTCCCTGGCCATGGCCAAGTTCTCCACAATTTTATTTTAGCAAATGAAAAAGTGGTTCATAGCAGCCACATAGAGAATATATACATGGTTGTAAATTCTGAAGGATAATGGAGTAGACCGGTTATCATCCTACGCTTGGGGACCTGGGGTGTCAAGGACAGAGGGTTGGCCGAGACCTCATAGGACAGGGAGGAGATGACTTCATCCTTGCTCTAAGGGTAAAGATGCAAATTCTCACTTTTAAGATCAGAAATAAACATTATCATTTTCGTTAGATGGAGCCCAAGACATTTGGGGAGACTAAGTTTTGGGATTTTTTTTTTTTTAAAGATTTATTTATTTATTCATACAGAACTGGGGTACAGGCCAGAGGCTCAGGGGCGGTGAGAGGCTTCACCAGAGACAGAGTGGGGAGCAGAACAGGCAGATCGACGAAGTACACTGCTGAGGGGAGCAGCGGGCGGGCCAGGAGAGGTCTGGCTCGCCATGTGGTCTCCTCCAGGGCAGGCGGCAGGCGGGAATCGAACTCATACGGAAGTGGCTTCAGATTCTCAGTGCTGTGCCTTAACTCGCTGCGCCACCAGGGAGGGCCAGTTTTGGGATTTTTTTTAAGGATTTACTTATTTGTGGATACAGAACTGGGGTACAGGCCGGAGGTGCAGGGGTGGTGAGAGGATTCACCAGAGACAGCAGGGAGCAGAACAGGCAGATCAATGAAGTGCACTGCTGAGGGGAGCAGCCGGGTGGTCAGGAGAGGTCTCCCGCGCCATGGGGGTCAGCTCTAAGGCAGGCGGAGATCGAACTTGCATTGAAGCGGCTGCAGCTTGCTTCACGGTGCTGTGCTTTAAGCCAACAGGGAAAACAGACTGAGTTTTTGCTATAAAAACAATTACTAAGCATTTCTGATGCCACCAGAGAATGGGTTTGGTTTTGTTTTTATTATGGTCACTGAAACTCCAAATTTATTCACGAGCAGTTTTAACCAGTTGGCTATGATCATTCCAGGTCTCTAAGACACGGCTCCAACAGCCAGAGGATCAGCAGGGGGAAATCTCTGGAAACTTTGACTCAAGATGTGAGTTGCAATGTCCCGGGGCATTTGAAACATGACTACGTATTGTATTTAAGTGACTGCTTAGACAATTCCAGTGCCTGGGCCTTTCTGTTGCTTTGTTATGTCCCCTTGAGACATCATAGCGGAGGGAACCAGGAAAATAGGAAACAAATGTAATGCCCAGGTTCTGAGGCCTGTCTATTTGCTGTAGAAAAATCCAGACACCTCACAAAAATGCATGTCTTCATCAAGAGAGTGACACAGAAGTGACCCATCGGTTGCATTTGACAAAAATTAAAGACACTTAAACATTTCCTAGAAGTGGGTGCCTCGTGGAGTATTTCCAGTTTCTATATTTTCTAGATTCTGGATCCTAATTTCAGAATTTTGCGTTCTAGAAAAACAAAATTTTGTTTCTAGAAGAATGTTTCTATCAACGACTTCAGAGGATCTCCTAAGAACTATTTGACCTTTAGACTCAAAGTCATTCATTTACCTACCTACTGACAAAGTACTTTTATTTCTTAATACGTATTTACTGGTGTTTACGTGCCAAACGCATTGCGCTTTTATGTTCTGTCGTATGAGAAGGGAAGCGCTGGGGAAATAAGGCAGAATCTATATCCGCCCAGCACTTTTATTCTAGTAAAAGAGATCGATAACAAACATACAACTATTTCTGGGTAGTCTTTGTTCTTTTCCATCATCTCTGTACTGGGGCAGTGTGGCTTCGTAGTAAGAGGAAAACAGAACAAAGAAATGGAAGGTGGAGATTTGGGGGCAATTAGAAAGGACAGGTTTGTGGTCCTACCTCCCAAGACCCCCTCATGAAGGCTTGCACACGTGGAAACCCAGGAGAGGACGGGCTGGTGAAGGCCTCCCCTGCAGGCCGGCGCCAGAAAGTGCGCATAAAATCCTTGCCTCTTGCAAAACCCTATCTGAAATACAGGACTAAGGTTGAGTCAGGATAACTGGGCTCAGGAAACCAGTTCTCGCTTGTTCTTCCTGTCCAGAGCTGTGGCATCAGAGAGAGAAGCTACGAGTCCGTGGGTTTTCTTTTTGTCTTTCACGACTTACCTCTTCCTCCTTCAGCATTTCCGGGGTTCTCAGCACATCACACCTGCTTTCAGTCTGCAGAAACTTCTATCTTAGTGAAAATAAACTGTCCTTGTTCAGTGTGCCAGGTGACACTGAGAAGTAAGAAGTCAGTGATGGGGTCACCTGATATCACCTTAACCCCATTATGTGGTTCTCGGTTAGCAGACAGGACCCTGTCCCCTATGAATATGGTCAACAGAGAGCTGTGATTGGACCCACGAGTAACCTGTGTGTGCACTTATAATCCGGGGGCCAGGCTTGTACAATGGAGAAAACTTCTAGGTAAAAATGCAGAGAGGCAGCCTAGATCAAAGCACAGCCCTTCTGTGTGGTACCATAGAAATGGGTGGTCGACTTCAGAATCAAATTAGAATGCGGCTGAAAACATGTGTTTAAGCGTACCCAACAAAAGGCCTTCTTTGAATAGCCTCATTGCCAGCGGCTTCTATCATGAATTTTCATTATATTCTTTCCCTAGACGACAAAAATCCATCCTCCCTCTTCTCCATGGTGAAAAGTCCCAGGGTTCTGCTAATTTCCTAAGACAGCTCTTAATGTCTCTTCCATCCTAGAAGCATTTAAAAGTGGTGTGTTGCATCTTTCTCGCCCATTCCAAATGACCGGTGATGCAGCTAACGCAGGCTCTCTGGGGAGTCTGTCTGCAAGGCCCATCACTACTCAGATGGTGGCTCCCTGCCTCCCCAGAGCGAAGGCCAAGGTCAGGAGCCCCGTGGCCACACCCCACCTGCCTCATCTCCTGCCCCCTGTCTTCCTCTCTGACTCTCACACTGGCCCCTCGCTGGCCGCATGTCCACACACAGACACCCTTCCCTGGAAGAGCCTGCAGGGACCAAGGGGCCAGAGGGTCTCCTTCAATCTGCCAGAGTCTGATCAGACAAAGCTTCTCCATTAGCCGATTCTAACCATTTCCTTAAACTTGGAGGCTTCCAGCACTCTCTCCCTTCTGTGTGTTTTTACTGAAGCGCCAGTGTCTTCCTTATTTTGACGACTTATTTTGAGGTACTCTTGTTTATTTTGATGGAATGACCTGTCCCTCCATCTAGAATACAAGCCCCACAAAAACAGGACTTCTGTTAACCCCTCCCTGCCTTTTGCCGAGACTTCAGCCCTAGAACAGTTCCAGGAACATGACGTTGTCAGTAAAGGTTTTTACTGAAATAAAAGATCTCCTTAAAGGAGAAAGGTCCCCTTGCTAAGATGAGTGTGACTGCTAAGATAGAGATGTGAGAGGTTCAGTAAAGATATTTAATTCCATTGTTAAGAAATGGCCTTCTGGAAGATTTCAGAAAAGCATCTGTTTTGATCTGCCCTTTCATTTATTTCTAGCATTCCAACACAGTGAGATATAGAAATGCACAAAGAGAAGACAGTGAAATAAAGATGATCCAGGAGAAAAAGGAGCAGGCGGAGATGAAAAGGTGCAGTATTTCTCAGCTCTCCTTTGGGGCAGGCAAACCTTCCCTTCGCCTAATCCTCCCTTAAGCGTCTCCTTCCAGGAAAGTGCAAGAAGAGGAGCTGAGAGAGAACCACCCCTACTTTGATAAGCCCCTGTTCATCGTCGGACGGGAGCACAGGTTCAGAAACTTCTGCCGCGTGGTGGTCCGGGCTCGCTTCAACGCGTGAGTGCTCCCCATGCCAGCTGGGACTCCCCCCACGGTGCGCAGAGCGGGGTGTGTCCAAGGAGAGGCGCGTGTACTCCTAATGGGGTCACCAGTCATGCTGCTCCTCTTAGCAGAGTGGCTGACCAGGTAGGAAACAAAGGAGGTTGAAGCAGAGAACATTGATATAAAACGCACGTGGCGAGAGCCCTGCAAGCCTTCCCGTGTGCTCGTGTTCACACGCGCCCAAGTGTGCCCCTGGGGGACCCTCCCTCCTGGGGTCACGGTGCAAACATGGAACGGGAAGGAGACCGACTGAGAGGGCCCAGGTGACTGCCCACGTCTTCTTTTAGACGTGAGCGTCTCTGTGGTCAAACAATCTTAAAGTTGGCTCATTGTAGAGTAACAGAAATTAGAAAGTCAACAAATGGCTTAGTTGCCAGCTGTGTGAGAAGAAGAAAACCAGTTCTAGTGTCTCGTGGAAGAACATGAGGGAGGTTCCGGTGTGGCCCGGAGATGGCTGCCTTCAAACTTACTCACATGTTGGGCCTCCCTGGTGGCCTAGGGGTTAAGTCTCAGCACTATCATCCTTGGCCGATCCCAGCCAGGGAGGGACCCAGGGACCCCCGGGGTGCAGCAGACCCCTCCTGTCTCCCCGCTGCCCCCCTCGGCAGTGGATTTCAGTAGATCCCGTGCTCTGCTCCCCACTCTGTCTGTGGGGAATCCTGTCACCCGTCCCCCACCAACCTCTGGCCTACACTCCTGTTCTTCTATGCAAAAATAAATAAAATCTTTCTAAAAATACATTCATATGTTGAAATCCTAACCCCGGTATCCCAGAATGCTTCCATACCTGGAGATGGGGAATTTTAAGAAGCCGTTGAACCCAGGAATACACAGTGGTGTCTGCAAATGTGTTATCTAGACTGTGTGCAAACAATGTAGTTTGTTTAAAAAATAAATGAATTTTTTAAAAAATAAGAAAGTCATTAAAATAAAATGAAGCCCCTCGGGTGACCCGAATCCAGTATGGCTGGTCACCTTACGAGACGAGGACATCTGGGCACAGGTGATACAGAGAAGACACAAGGAAGAGCCGAGCCTTCCCTCCCCTCCCCCCCCGACCCCCACACTCAGGGGCCACCAGGTTCCTGAACCAGGATAGGGCAGAGTCAGCTTCTGTTGCTGACACCACTCAGTCCTAGCTTGCTACTTTGCAGCAGGAGTCAGAAATTCCGGTGTGGTCACATTTCAGGACAGACCTCATTTCAGGGCAGCTGCCGGTTGTAGTTCCAGCCCCTTCCTCCCACAGAGGAAGCATGGAGGTCAGTGGGTGACTTGCCGGACACCAGCCTGTGTGCACGATTCTCAGACTGCTGTCTGTTCTTCCTGCTGTTCTCTGAAGACCGTAAGCATCAAAACACCTGAGCAGTGATCACTAAAAACGTCACAATGAAAGCACAAGGCTGTGGGGTAGAGCTTGTTGGCCAAGTCTCCCAAGGGGGTTTTCATCTGGAATTATCCTGCTGGCCGCCTCCATGTTCCATCTAAGCTGCAAATTCTCCACCTCATGGAGTGAGGTGTGATTCTGCTTTTGTAGCAGTGCAGCAGAGGTGGGCTCAGACCCCGGTAAAATACCCGTGACCAGGAATGTTCACACTCAGAGACTGTCAGAGGCTTCCTCGGGATTGGTCATGGGCTCCCAGACCTGACCATTACAAACCCTCACCCCAGGAAATTCTATATAAATTACGCCTCCACAAGATATCGCTAAATACAGAGTCAAGAGCTCTAAGAACCTGAGAATATTTCCTTAAATAATTGGGGGACACCCTTGAGCCGCTGAACAACTGAGGCAAAGATTTTAACTGGCGGTTTTTTCATTGGAAGTCAAAATTTGATTTCATGAAAGACACAGAAATTGCTACGTGCAGTCATGAATGCTGATAGTAAGCATTTGCATCAACTGTGGTTTCCTCTCACCGATTGTTCTCTGCCTTCCAAAGTCACATACAGTCAACATACCATAATGGACATGCTGTCGAGGACGTAAGAAGAGATTTCTAGGCTGATGAGATGTTTGTAAGTGAAAACACACTGGTTTGCTGCCACATGCAATTTGTCGGTTCTCTCTTGCAGATCTAAAACAGACCCTGTCACAGGAGCGGTGAAGAACACAAAGTACCATCAACTTTAGTAAGCACTGCAAACTGTTTTCCCTACATAGCTGTCGTTTCTGTGTGCTATCTTGTGTTGAGTAAAACTGAAAATCCCTGTTATTTTCTTCCTATCTCGCTCTGCAAAGTAGCCAGTCGGGGCCATTTAAAATGCTGCTTACACGAGTGCCGTGATGGAGCATCCCCGGGCTGGAAGCTGCCTTTCCTGGAGTGTTTGCTTTCTTAGCTGTGTTTGTCTTCGGCAGTGACTTGCTGGGACTGGTCACTTACCTGGACTGGGTCATGATCATCGTCACCATCTGCTCCTGCATCTCCATGATGTTTGAATCCCCCTTTCGAAGAGTTATGCACGCTCCTACTTTGCAGGTATTGCTGCGGAATCTCAGCTTAGAGCTCTGAAAACACTGCAATTTTTCATGCCTTGCAACCAAACTGTCTTGCCTGTTTCAGATTGCTGAGTATGTGTTTGTGATATTCATGAGCATTGAGCTTAATCTGAAGATTATGGCAGATGGCTTGTTTTTCACTCCAACTGCTGTCATCAGGGACTTCGGTGGAGTAATGGACATATTTATCTATCTTGTAAGTCTTTGGTTATTCCCTAAATGTAAACTATAATGGTTTTGTAAGATATCCTACATTTGTTGCAAAGGGAGTGAACTCTGCGAGACTAAGAAATCATAAATGAGCTCCTAAGTGATGTCGTCCATTATAAGCACATGAAGGTAGGCATGTAGACTCCGAATAAAAAGCATTAAAAAATATCCATGGATATAATTCTAAGACAGCGTCACATTCATGGTGCCTAAGACATTCCCTTAGGAGATCTAAGACAGCAAATCTACGTAGCAACCCTCAACCTTATGGCTCCTAAGAAAACCCCGAAAGCCTGTAATTGATTTATGAGCTCTTTCTGCTAAAGACAAACTAAACTGAGTGGGCTGGAGCTCTCTCCCAGGTCCAAGGCACAAATTACCTGGAGAAGATGGCCCTGTACCTGTTTCAGTTCAACCGAATTGTGAAACCATAGGAAAGAACTCTGAGAAATGTCTTTGTTTTCCCTGAATGTCCAAGAAGGCATGGAACCAGTATCTTCTTAATGCAACAAAGGAACTTGTGAGAGTGGCGTGTAGCATGCTCAGATGGTGAACAAAACAGTGGACATCAGGTCAAGCACACGGCTCAGTGTCTTAGTCGCAAGGATTTCAGTCCTGTGGACATTGGGGCAGCCTCCAGTGTGTGAGTTAAGAGAAGAGGCACACACACTCTCACGCACACATACACTCACTCTCACAGTGTGGACAGCCTGCTTCAGTCCAGCACACACCTGACCTCTTTCCTTGGGGGTGGCTAAGATGTTGGGGGGGGGCTTCACTTGTTAGGGGTAAGAGACTGCATGTACCCTGGGGTTGCTTGTCCCGTACCACTCGGGGAGCTCTGCTCAGAGCCAGTTGTGGCCAGTGGCTCGCAGAGAATGGGGTAGAAAGGATCAGTTGTCCAAATCCAGAGGTGCTCTTTCCCTCTAGGTGAGCTTGATCTTTCTCTGTTGGATGCCTCAAAATGTGCCCGCCGAGTCAGGAGCTCAGCTCTTAATGGTTCTTCGGTGCTTGAGACCTCTGCGGATATTCAAACTGGTACCCCAGATGAGGAAAGTTGTTCGAGAACTTTTCAGTGGCTTCAAAGAAATCTTTCTGGTATGTTACTTCCAGTGATCGTCTGCTTCCAGGTCTCATTATCCAAATCTGTCATGTGGCCGGTAAGGGCCAAAGTGAGCTTGCTCGCCATGGGCTGCAAGTTTGTGTAAGGCTGAAGGGTTCAAAAAGCACTAACAAAGCACAACAAACTTTCAGAACCTGTAGCCATGGATGCTTCCAGCTTGTCGGGATATTTAATTCAGTGGGTGTTATTTGGACATGAGAGAGGCATTCTGAAATGTGAAATGAAAGGAGAATTCAGAGACCTAGTTGCGGGTGCTTTCGTTCCTAAGTCAGCCTTAATTTCTGCTTAGTTTTAGTTTCCCCGTCTAGAAAATAAGGCTAAGGAGATTCAGTGGTATCGATCACAGAGATAAGAGGGATGATGTACGTGGACTCAATCTTATTCCACGCATATTCTGTGGAAGCACATAATATAGATCTTGATAGAGTGTTAAACATTTTTTTTTAAATATAATCTGTGTAGTTTGCTTTAAGCAACCTCAGTAAATGGCAGTGAATACTTACAAGTATGATTGGGGGAAAGCATTCTTTGTAGTAGGGCTTCTAGGAAGGAATGAGGTGCCGATGCATGATGGTAAGAAACTCGTTCATGTACTCCAAAGGACCTTTGTTTTACAAAGGAATGCTCAAGAGAGTTGCTTTTTTTAGGAGTATTATTAAATGGTTCTAGAGTTAATAGAAAGCATGAATTTTATAATGAGTTCCAAGAGAGCTGCCTTTGTTTTTGTTTTTTTTTTTTTTTTCATTGTTATTAATGGGTTCTGGAATCAATGGAAACATGAGTTCTGGAATTAATGGAAAAAGAAAATTCATTGACATGAGCTTGTTTTATATCTTGATTTCTAGAAACATCCACAGTGAGAGAATAACTGTAATGGCCTGTTGGTTCTAAGTATTTTTTTTTTTAAAGATTTATTTATTTGTGCATACAGAACTGGGGTACAGGCCAGAGGCTCAGGGGCGGTGAGAGGCTTCACCAGAGACAGAGTGGGGAACAGAACAGGCAGATCGACAAAGTACACTGCTGAGGGGAGCAGTGGGTGGGCCAGGAGAGGTCTGCCACGCCATGTGTTCACCTCCGGGGCAGGCGGGGATCGAACTCATGCTGAAGCGGCTTTAGATTCTCAGTGCTGTGCTTTAACCCGCTGCGCCACCAGGGAGGGCCGGTTCTAAGTATTTTAAAGAAATCTTGGGAGATGCCTACAGGCATCAATTTGCTAATGCATTTTGAAAGTTGGTAGAAATTCCTTATTTTCTTGGTGCAAAAACCATGAAATGGTGGCTTCTTGCGCAGCTAGAATTGAAGGGAGCTGGGATGTCACCTGACCTGAGAAGCGTGTCTTTGTGCATTTCTCCTGAAGCTGTGTCCATGTGAGGTCGTGTGTGCAGGTACATGAGGCCATCAGAACAGAACGTGGTTTGTGCAGTCACCTTCTGCTGCTATCTGACGTCTCCCCCAGCAGAGGGCGCGCCAGGCAATTAGCGGTGGCTCCTCAGCACTGACTCCCAGAGGTCCTGGAAGCCAAGGCCCTAATTCCTGTGCAGGGAAGCAGAAATCCGCTGTGTGAGGAGGGAGGCCATCATCCTCAAGTGGGTCCTTTTTTACCATTCGAGAAGAGAGAGCAAAGTGTTGATTTTCAAATCAGAAAATTCCAAGTTCTATCAAGACTATCTTAGTCTGATTTTCTACATGAAAGTCTTATGTGTTTATGCTAAAAATCCAAAATCGGTCTTTAATTTCCTTCTGTTAACATCCCAGCAAGGCTAATTGAATGACCCATGGCAAGGAAGTTAACAGAGTCCATAAAAGGCCGTGGATCTCTTACAGTGCTGTGTAAAAGTCGTGTCTATTGGGATTCGGTCCTGGCTTGCTGCTGGGTCTTACCTGCGTGTGACACCTCACTGGTCTCTTCCAGGTCTCCATTCTGCTACTGACATTGATGCTTGTTTTCGCAAGCTTTGGTGTGCAGCTTTTTGCTGGAAAATTGGCAAAGTGCAACGATCCCAACATAATTAGAAGGGTAAGATTTCCTTTCTGTCTTGGGGAATAAAAATCAGTCATTTGCATGCCTTTGTGAGGCTTGTCAGATTCCAGGCGTGGCTGGGGAATCTCTGCTCTTCCCTCCACTCCCGTGTCACTGCACCGTTGACATCCTTGGCTTTGTCTCTCAAGATTCCAAATATTTATTGCTGTGGACCTCAAAAAGTGCCCTTGAGGTCTCCCCTAACTTAATCCAGCCCTGATGCCACATGAGACTCATAGCAGCAAACAGCACCCCCGCAGAAAGGTACAAAATGCAAAGTGTGACCTGCACACCCAACTATGGTGTCTCCCCTCTCACTGTCTCCCCACTAGGAAGCCAGGGCCTGGGCTCAGTTCTCACCTGCCCAGCAGCTTCTCCTTCACGGCACCTCGCAAAGACCATGCTTACATACATCTGCTACTGCTTTCTTCTTTAGTCAGTGTGAGTAGGGGGAGGCCTGTGCAAGGACACCCCAACATTTCAGTAGCTGAACATAATGAAATGAGCATGTTGCATCTGGGGTAATGTGGACAGCCCTTCTCCAGGTGACCTCTGAGAGTCTCAGGTCCCTTCTGGCGTCTGTTCCCTGGAGAACAGAACCCTCTCTATCGGGGCGGATTGGGGGAAGGCCATGGGCTATGCCCAGAACGTCACAAGTCCCTTCAACCACATTCCACTACAGAGAGCATGGCCTCACCAGGCAGGGTTTGGGGGGGGACGGACATTGCTTAATAATTAGCCAGTATCTGCTAAACCACCCAGCATCCTGTTCTCTTAGAATTCTGCCCTGTGTGGTGAGTTGATTAATAAAATAAGCCAAACAGCAATGTTGTAAAAGCTAGTGAAAGTGAATATGAATATCATGCCTGTGACTGTTAAAATGTGTGTTTCCAAAAGGCCTAGTGTAGCTGAGCTATAATCTGTTCACAACAAAAGTGACTTACTAATATAGGTATGTAGGTATGAAAATACCTACATTTTTAGGTTTGTAATGACAAAAGTTACTAGCTCCCTGTTTCTATAAAATATACATAACAGCTTTGCCCAGTACTTCATTGATTACGTCCAAAGCCAGGACTTCAGGCCGAGGCGAGGGAGACACGCGTGGGCCACACAGACCTCCCCGTGCTGTTTTGCCGCGCAGGTCGCTGCTCCCCTCAGCCTCCTCCGCAGGAGTCCAGCGATTTTCATAAACCCGAGACGAATAACACGGGATGTGGCATAAAGGTCACCGATACCAAATAGCTAATGAGCGAAGCCATAATGAGCTGAGGCGTCAGCCCGCAAGCCTGTGCAAGGAACGAAGAGTTATTTTAGACCCACACTGAATAGAGCCCGGGAAGATAATAGCAGCATTTCACGATGAAGCCTGGTGGGAGTCTCGCTGACTCAATGTATTAATAATGGCCTAAGTGTGTCGTGAGTTACGGGTTGTGCTCATGGCAGCCCCAGCTAAAGACTGACGACTTGTAGAGGGGACGATGGCAGGCCAGACCCCTCGATGGTGAGGCCATACACCTGTATTCGCCCCCAGAGCAGCGAGGTCTCTGCAGGACGACGGAGCCACATAAGGAGCGCCCACCGCAGGCAGGATGAGAAGGAAACTGGCCTCCTGGGAAGGGGTTTGTGGGTCCACCTCAGCAGGGGCCATCTGTAGCCCCCACTTAAGAAACCAAGGTCCTCAGGCCTCCCTGGTGGCGCAGGGGCTAAGTCTTAGCACTGCAGCCTGAGTCCAGGCCTGGGAGTGACCTCCATGTCACCCCGCTACTCCCCTCAGCAGTGTGATTCAGTGGATCTGCCTCCCCTCACCCCCTGCACCTCTGGCCTGCACCTCAATTCTTGTCTGCATAAATAAATATAAATAAATCTTTAAGAAAATAGAGACCAAGGCCGAGTATGCCTCAGGGGTGCAGGGACCTGACCTCCCTGTGTTCCACATTTCTGGTGAGGGGACAAGCCCAGTGAGGAGGGGCAGGCACGCCCGACACGTGGGCCCCGCAGTACCTGTTCGCAGGCCGGAGCTGGCCACTGTTGTCGCTGGTGGTGGCCTGAGCCCTTCCGCTCCTGCTCCTGCTCTTAAAACCTGGCGGCAGCAGGAATGTCGGGCCCCTGCACGTAGCACCATGCAGCCCGGAACTCAGTGGACTCTTTGGGTACCCTTTGATGGCTAGCTATTAAGTGTCAGCTCTGGGCGGGGCCCGTGACCGGTGAATGAGAACAGGACAGGCATGGCGGACAGCCCCCAGCATCGTCTCTCTTCAGTCAGGCTGCGTGTCTTCTGTAGAAGCAACCGCCGTACAAAGTCAGAAGTGAAAGCTGCTCACGAGAAGTGGAATAATGAGCCAGCTCGTTTTCTCAGGAGGGAAACAGAGCTTCCACCTGGAGCACCAAGAAGGACGCAGGATTTGGAATAAGCAGGGAACCTCCACCAACAGGCGACAGAAAGGAGAGAGACGTGCTGTGTACACGGGGCAGAGGGGTGGCAGAAGTGAGGTCACACCCGAGAAGCTCCATGGGCTTGGAGCCCGGGCTCTGCGGGCGGAGTCCTGCTGTCAAATGAGGCCTACTCAGTCAGGCTGGGCCTCTGGGCCCGTTCTTCCTTTGGAGAGTGTCAAGCACCTCACCCGGTGATGTTGGGGAGATTTCATTGACTTGCTAATGTAAAGAAACTCCCCCAGCCTCCAACAGTAATAGAAAAGACATGAAAAACAAGGGCAGAAGTGTAGTTTAGAGAGGTTCCCCGGGGCTGCGCCAGGCTCGGGTGGCCCTTCTTGGATACAAAGTGAGGCTCAAAGGTTTTGTGAGAAGACACGGATTCACGAGAGCTCGCCAAGCAGTTTTGCGGGCGCGATTATGGTGACCCACATTCTACGGACGAAGAAGGTGGGAGGGTGACGGTGAAATGGCTTGTCCAGGGTCTCCCTCTCAATAAGTGGGGTTCACGTCCAGGCAGCTGGATGCTGGGGTCCATGCTGAACCGGGCTACCAGCAGCCTCACCCAGTCCAAGGTAGACCAGAATGACGAACTGGAGAGCAGGCCCTCAGCTAGAGCGCAAGCGCAGCACAGCCCTCTGAACCAGCGCTGCAGCTGACGGTGTGCACAGCTAGAAGATAGCCACTGTGTATTTTAACTGTAAAGGGGTGAGAGAATAAAACCTGAACTGCCTCAGCTATGTATGGGGAAAAGGGCTGCAAGGATACAGGAGTTGTGTTTGTGGATAATGAAAGGTAAGTTTCTCTCTGTTTTATAAGCTTCAGGATATATTATTTTACAGGGTTTTTGCTTTAAAGAATTTGGTGGGTCATTCAGAATGTGGTGCTGCTGGGATGAACTAAATTTGTTGAAAGGAGGATGGAGACAGGGAGCTCTGAGGTCTTGATGCCGGCTGCTGGCTGGACAAATTGGGGAAGCCAGGAGGAGACATGTCTGATGGTGGAAGGTGACTGTAGGCAGGTAAAGAGTCAAAGTGCTGCTGAAATATTTAAGAGGGCACTAAGAATTTTATCATGTATACCTTGAACCTGCAAAAGAGGTCTAGGCTCAAATAAGACCATTGTTGCAAAGAAACGCAGATGACAAAATGGAGAATAGAAAACAGAAAATGAGTTCAAACGTGAGTTCATACTAGTTTCTTATTGTTATATCTTTAAAAAACAGATTTGTTGAGTCACAGTTCACATGACACCACAATTTATGCACATTTTTGGTATGAAACCTAATATCCAGGGAGTTTTACAACCATCACCACAGCTGATTTTAGAATATTTTTATCATCTCCAAAAGAAACACTGCACTTTAGTTCTCACTCCCAGCCCCTGTTCTCTCCATCACCTCCATCCTAAACAACCACTCGCCTATTTTCTTTCTCATGGAATTCCCTGTTCAGAATTTTCATGGGAATAGAATGATATGTTATGGGGCCTTTTGTGACTGGCCTCTTAACATAATATATTTAGACCTTTTCACTTATAATATTTTCAAGGTTCGACATACACATGGTATTATCCACAGGTCAGTGGTTCCTTTTTTACAGCTGAATAATATTCCACTGGATGGTTGTACCATCCTTTGTTTATCCATTCATTGATGGACATTGTGTATCCATTCATTGAATTGTTTCCAACTTTAGACTACTATAGGTAACACTTTTTACAGTAATAATACAAGCATTCAGGGACAAGTGTGTTGTGGATATGGATTTAATGTCTCTTGGGTGGATACCCAGAATGCCAGCACTCTGACCTTTACAGAAGGTCACACTGTTTTCCAAAATGGTTGCACTGCTTTCTGCCCCCACCCAGGTAGCATTATCCAAGGTATCATTTGACTTGCTGATTATAGCCTGGCTGGTTGGCATGAAAGTTTTATGTTTTTGAGTTGCCTTTTCTCAATGTGAATTCTGTTTGCACCTGCATGTAGGCCATTTGTCAATCTTCTCAAACGATGTCTACTTAGACCCTTTGCTCACCTACTAATGTCAAGTTTTACTGCTCATTTTTGCTATTTGCTGGTAACCACCCGCATCACTATTCGATAAAGGGCCTTTGTTATCCCATGAAAAAACATTTCTGATCGTTAATCTTCTCTGAGTTTGTTTTCTGACCAAGTTTTCCCCTCTTTTTCCCCTCTTTCTTTCCTTTTTTAGGAAGATTGTAATGGCATATTCAGAATTAATGTAAGTGTATCCAAGAACTTAAATTTAAAATTAAGACCTGGAGAGAAAAAACCTGGATTTTGGGTTCCGCGTGTTTGGTAAGCATTTCAGAAATATATCCTGAAGACTTCTCTCTTTGTCAGTGTATGATTTTAAGTCAGTCATGTGGCATGGAGCTAAAAGGAACTCTGCTAAAGATGTTAAGATGCTTTTAAGTAGTGCAAGGCAGGCTCTACATCAGGACAGGCGATCTCTTACTTACCCATGTGGCTTCGCGAACAGTCTCTGCCGCATTTTTCTGATATGTACAGTGAAAGTGGCTTGACTCACATGGCTGCCCACGTTAGTGCAGATTTAAAATAACAAAGATTTTCTATCACGTAACACTCAACTTGACCAGAGTGTATATCTTTAAGAGACGATTGGATGTCCTCACTACCGATGGTAGAGCACCTTAAATCACAAAGCACTTTCAATTTTAAAATCCATTTACGTGGACAGATTTTCATTCTGGAATCATCAGAAAGAATTGCTAGTAACATCAAGAGTAACGCATTCTATCCCACGCTCTTTCAAGTTCATTTTTTTTTAACTTGAAATGGGTTTTCGAAGCTCGGCATACCTGTCCCTTCTCCCTCATCAATTTACCAAGGCCAGGGAACAGCCTCCTCACTGCTTCCTGGATGAGCTGAGTATTCTGGCAACTTTGTTTACTGTGCACACCACTCAGGTTTCTTTTTTATTCTGCTCTAGTTCTTAGAACAAGGAGTGCAGCGTGGCAGCTCCTCAGCTTTTGCCACAGTTGATGTTCTCTAACAGGTGTCAAAATGCTTCAAAGGAAAGGCGACATCACGCATTGTACCTGAGAACCCGTGGTTACCTGCCCTGGCATTTCTCTAACATAAAAGTCACGTTTATAAAAAGCTCAGTACAACTTATCTGGGGGCTTTATATAGCCCGGTACTGAAGAATCATGGTAGAAAAGGCACCTTGGGCAGTGAGGCCGGGACGTGGGCATGGCTCACTCTCCCGTGAGCCAGGGAGACCTTGTCTCAGGGCTCCCTAGAAGCACAGCCTAATTTGCATTGTAATAAAAAATTAAAGAAGCATAAAATGTTTATGTTGGTATGATTAGAACTCATTGTTACGCCATAATGATTTATGGATGTGAAGCTGTCAGATGGGATTCTTCTCCCCTGCTGTGTGGCATTCTGGCCACAGCCCCAAAGCTGAGGACAGTGAGGATAAACGTCTGGGCAGCCTCAAGAGCCCAACAGGAAACCTCGCGTGAGCTGTTCGCAGGGTTTCCCAGTCCAGTGGCGCCATACAGCTGTGGCAGAGAGGCTGTGCTCCATGTCATCGTCACAACATTACGACGATGGGTGTCAGCTCTAGCCATGATCATTTTTGTCATTTCCATCTCCAGCTAGCAGTCAGAAATACTTTCATTTTTATGAGTTCAATGTGTAAATATATTTCTCAGAAATTCAGAAAAATAGCATATATCTGGGAACTGCCTGGAGAAACGCTTTGATATTCATAGCCAGGACGTAGCTACACATCCTGATCCAGGAGACGCCCTCACGCCTCTGTCCTCCCCAGATGAATATGTCCATTTTCTTGTGAATTGCCCTAATTGAATAAGGTAAACTTTACCTTGGTAAAGGGAATTAAATGTCTCATCTATTATACATTCGGTGTTTTAAACAGAGCTCTGGGAGATGGGAGATTGGAAAGCATGAGAGAAAAGCCAGGGAAGTTCTGTTTTACCACAAATGTGATAAAACACATTTACCTAGTCACTCACGGTCCACCAGGCATGAAGCTGTCTCTGAGAGCAGCTGTGTGTGGCTTTGGCCGTAGGAGCCCGAAGTCTAGTGGAGAACAGAAAATACGACCACAGTTTATTGTAGCATGCAGAGGCCTTTGATGCTCATCAGAACTCTAACCCTACACTCACCTGAAGCTTAACCCTAGGTCATTGTAAGTCACACTGTCATACATTCGAGGCAGGGGGAGACCGAACGCTGTAGCTTAAGGCTCAACCAACGGGGATATGCTCTTTCAGAAAAAAGTATAAAGGACCTTACTTAGGTTTGTTCACTGGGGCTAGTGAACTCTCTGGGGGCCCCCTTAGGAGCCCTAGAAGGGCCCTGGGCCAGGAGACGACCTGAAGCTTAGAGTCTTCAGCTTCCTGGGTTCTGAGCCTCTGACTCAGATGCCAGGGGTTTCTGAGCCCAGCTGCAGCACAGACCCGGAGAAAGGAGGGTCGGACGCTGGCAGTGAGGAGGGCAAAGCCAGAGACAGGTGAGGGGGCGTGGCCAGGCAGAGCTAGGGCCGTGTGTGTTGGGAACTCAACTGCCAAAATCCAAGGTCAAGAGATGGGCATATGTTCCATGAGGTGCAGGGACTCCCCATTTCTTGCAAGGAAGGACACGGTGGCCAGCACCAGGTAGGGGGGTTACCTTGGACACTGTCGCTGCTGCATGCCCTCATCCAGGGGCAGAGCTGCTTTCTCCTCCACGGTGTCCCCATCCTCCCAGAGCAGGGGCAGCCCCACCCCCACCCCCAGCATGGTCTAGCAGACCACAGAGCTCTTTTCACTGAGAGGGAAAGGATTGGTCAAATTGTGAGGTCAGCCCCAGTGCTGTGTCAGTACTGGGTGACAAGATGATACTCTTTTAAAAAAATATTCAGGACAGGTGGTATTTCAAAGACTTCAAAGCAAGGAAGGTCAACAGGAAAAAAGACAATAATTGATCGTGTCCACCATGTATTGATTCTCTCTGGAGTTACAGGTAGAGTTTCAAATTTCCCAGCTTTAGTAGCATGAATAAAGCATACGCAAACATTTTCTATGCCTAAAATAGACTTAGATTGTTAACATGGTATACTTTTCCACCTACTTAAGTCTGGTCCTACATTTTATTTTTCTTGGTTCAGCCTAAAAGCATATTTTTAATGTATTCTACCTTTAAAGGATGTAAAACATGAAAGTAGCTTGGGCTTCTGCAAATTTAGCTATGAAAGCACTTTTACATGAATAAAGTGGAGGGGTAAGAACATGCAGCATCAGTTCTGAGAAGTGGCTCACTCGGCTTTCAGAAAATCCTTCTTTAAGGAAGCTGTACACCGTAGAATCTGTGCAGTTTCTGCCTACTGTAAAATTTGAAATTCCCCAAAGGAGAGCTTGTAGGGAAAACTGAAGAATATGTGCTCTACTTCCATATTTAAAAATATGTAAGTTAGAATCCCAGATGTGAATTTCCAAGTGGTGTTTTCACACTGTGTAAAAGACATTTTGATAGGAGTAAGTTAGTTTCATTGTCATGTTTTCTCATTAGATCCCTATCTATTTAACATTAAAACTCCAAACTCCAAAGGTGTATTCCATGGCTGTACCTGTCTGTGGTTTAAAAACATAAAATATGGTAGAAAAATAACTAAACCAGGTTCCCCCGCACCACCAAAGAATGTCACCTCTTATTAAGGTTAAATTTTGATAAATAAGCTACCAGGGGAAAGTATCATAATATAATTTAGCCAAGCTTCAACAAGCCTATGCTCTTTCTTAATCCTGAACTTAGTTCTCTAGCAGATGCAGAAAATGTAAGTCTAGTTCTGATTTTCCAGTGCATGGCTGTATAAATTTTTTAACTACTTAAGATGTTCACTAATAAGGGGGGAAAGAAAAACACACTGAACTCTGAAAATTAAAAAAAAAAAAAAAAAGCCCATGACAACCAGAGTAAATGCAACAGAGTAAGGCAGATCACTTGCAGAAATTCTTAACAAGTATAGACATGACAGAAAAATCAGACATACCCCCACAAAAAATGGCAAAGCCAAATATATGTTTGAAAAAAAAAATTTTAAGATTTATTTATTTGTGCATACAGAACTGGGGTACAGGCCAGAGGCTCAGGGGCGGCGAGAGGCTTCACCAGAGACAGAGTGGGGAGCAGAACAGGCAGATCCCGGGAAGTCCACTGCTGAGGGGAGCAGCGGGCGGGTCAGGAGAGGTCTGCCGCGCCATGTGGTCACCTCCGGGGCAGGCGGGGATCGAACTCATGCGGAAGTGGCTTCAGTGCTGTGTTTTAACCCACTGCCCCACCAGAGAGGGCCAACTTGTTTGAAATTTTTATTGAAGTCACACAGTTTATACATTATGTGTTTTCAGGTGTACAGTGTTGAGCTTGGACATCTGTAAAGCATGTTCCAAAGTATTCTGGAAATCAGGAGTCAACTGTGGTTGGGGCCTGCTCACTGCACAAGAAATATCTTGGGGAACACTGGAGATATCTATTGACAGCACACAGTTAATAAGAGAAAGAAGTCCAAGAGGGAGAGGGGACTCTGGAAAGGTCAGAGCTGTGAGCAAATCCAGCTTGTGGAACTTGTAACATGCCTGGGCTGCAGTGACAGGCTGACATTTCTAGATAGAAAGTGTGTCCTCGGTTTAATCAGTTCACGCCGGAAGCCCTGCAGAGCCTCGGGAACTGGACTCCAGTTGTGTCTTGTGCATTTTGTCATTTTCCACTGAGCACACACCCTCACTCCCTAATCATTAATGGCATCGCTAATAACATCATTAGCAACCCGTGTGCATCTTTAGCAACGGTTTAGCAATGAGTGTCAGCCTCCCAAAGCCTGCTGTGCCTGCACCCAAGGTTGATGAGAGCAACAGATATTTGCCTTAGGAGCGTCTCATGGGAATTCCCTAAAACACTCCTTTCTCTGAATTGCAGGGCGAATCCTCGGAACTTTAATTTCGACAATGTGGGAAACGCCATGCTGGCATTATTTGAGGTCCTCTCCTTGAAAGGCTGGGTGGAAGTGAGGGACGTCATTATCCATCGTGTGGGGCCGGTAAGCCCCCAGCTCCTTTTGAAAGCTCCACCAGCTACTTTCATTTGCTTTGATGAATAACCATGTTTTTCATTTCCACAGATGCATGGGATCTACATTCACGTTTTTGTATTCCTGGGCTGCATGATCGGACTGACGCTTTTTGTTGGAGTAGTTATTGCTAATTTCAATGAGAACAAGGTAAGGACCCTTGGTTGAACTATCACGGGGTTTATTCTTTTCCGGCCACGCATTCTGAGCGCTCTTTTTCACACAAGACATGAAGTCGCCGCAGACCATAATGTGACTGGTGTAAATGATCTCTGACTATTTTACAAACTGCCGCCCGGGCACATAATTTAAGAGCACCATTCTCTTGCAAAAATTTTCCCTTTTGGTAACTGTCATTAATTCTCCCGCCATGGAAAGGCACATCTCCTACCATTGGAGTGGAAAAACTGCACAGCAAGTTATTAGAGTACAGTAGCTGTAACTGGCACACTGACTGCAGGTAATATTACTTTCACAAAATGTAAATTAGGCTGCTTCTTTGTAACTCAGTAGTTGACCTCGGAATTTTGATAGCTAGAGCGTGAGGTGGGACTTTTTAACGCCACACTCACGTGGGCAAAAAGATGTTTTAATCTCATATCAAAACTGTAAATACTTCGTGGCCTCGGAAGTGGCTGAATTCACGCCCCACAAATGGGAAAACAGCGAGTGTCTATACCTGTGCAGAACTGCATTTGGAGAGAACATTCTGTGTGGTTCTTCTGGACGTGCCTGAGCCGCCCTTTATGGTGAAAGCACCCATCCATTGTTGCTCTGCATGGTGATCATTGAGCTGCCTACGCACTGCCCAGCAAGCACTAAGCACTGAGGTTTTCACAGGTCGCCATCAATTCTCACAACTCTGACATCCACCATTGAAATAAAAATAGCTGACAGCGGTGAAATAACTTGCCGGGGCCAGAATTCAGACGTGGTGCCTGTAGCTGCCGAGTGTATGATTCAAGAGCATAAAAGTGTCACTCTGCCTTGAGTTAGGGCTGGGCTTGCCGCTCGCCCGTGTCATTCACGCAGGCTGGCGTGCGGCTTGGGGCTGCACGTGGCGGTATCGCTCCCCGGCCCCAGGCTCAACTTGTGTGGCCGCCGTTATCCACTCAATCACCAGCTTTGATGTGCGCCTAATGAGGATGCCTCTCGCCCAGGCTTTCCAAGGGTGCCATGTAAAAACCCACCTGCTTTGGAGCCCCGACACTGCTCCAACCCCCAGGAACATGGGATTTCAGTACAGAAAGGACAGCGAGTGTCTTGCCCAGTGCCCCCACCTCTGCCCTTTTTACTTCGTGGCTCATTCACAAATGAGCTCCCTGAAGCCCTACGGTGTGTTCAGTTTCGTGCCAAGCAGGAAGAGGAAGACGGTGCTTTTCATGGGCTTTGAGCCACATGGTGGAGCGGACGCTGGGAGTTGCAGAACAGGCCCAGAAAGCGGGGTGTGCCCGCACAGTCCGAGCAGCCTGGGGAGGCGTGCCAGCCAGCAGTGCAGCCACACGCACGAAACCACACACACTCCCCCTCGCTCGCTAGCTCGACTCAGATGGATAATGAATCGAGCTCTTGAACTCAGAGGGATGAAGGACTAAGCGGAATGACAGGCTACCGCAGGCACAGGTTGCGTTTATGTCCTGAGGAGGGAAGAAGCCGGGGGTCTGAGTTATGGGAGCTTCCCTGGAAGCTTAGAGGTGCTTAGAGAAAGGGGACATGTAGGAGCACTCGTCGTATTCTGTGTTACAAACTTGATTAGCCGATTGGAAGTAAAATTTCTCAATTATGTGAACTTTAAAGAAAGGTCTTCAAGTGTTTTAGAAGGTAGCAAGAGCTGCTGTAACCCAGCTTCATTCATCATCATTCATCAGCACATTCCCTGACTTACTAGAGGCCAGTTACTGCCGTTGGCCCTGAGAATGTAACAACCCGATAGTACAACTGACACTCTGAACACATACTATTACCCGCAGTTCACATTCTAATTAGAGTACCCAAAGGTATCCAAATAGATTTCCAAATATACAGGCAGTAGAGCAACATGAAGATCCGGGAAATTAGGTGAATTGGGGAACAATAGTTTCACCATTTAGTATTAGTCCAAATTATGCTTGCATTAGAAAATGGAAATCTGTTTTTAAAGTTCTTAGACTAAAAGGCACAAAATGATGTAAAAATAAACTTATATTAAAAAAGAAAACATAAGTGAATGTTATCTTCAAAATAATGTTCTTAGACTATACCAGTAATATGTAGATTTTTAATTTTCCTTGTAAAGTAACTGTTTTATTAATAATCTAATTTCATAATTTTAAAGTTTCCATTTATTAAAATGGGAGTTCCATGGTTATTATTATTTTTTAAGCTTTCAATGTTCAACTTTCTCAGATACTTTATTTTGCATAATGAAGAGATAATGAGGATGTCTAGCGTATACAGAGAACAGGATTTGTTTGCAGTCAATGAGAAAAATAGTTCAGCATTAGTAATTATCAGAAAAAAAGTTTAGACAAATATTATGAATGAACAGTATTATTAAATAATGACAGAAGGAACTAAATACCAGAAAAGCATTGAACATTTAAACCTCAAAATGATGAAGCAAAAATAAGTCAAATTGTAAAAAAAGAAGCCAGCAAGCTCAAAATCAGAATGGAAGATAACATGTTTCTCTAGAAACTCAGAAACCAGACAGGGGGAAGGAAGAAAATAAGAGCTAGGATATAATAAAAGTAACTGATCAAGTGGGTATACAGCAGAAACTAACCCCAACAATTTAAGGTGTGTTATTTTCAAGTACAAGATAGAGCCTCTGCAAAGCCATAACGTGGTAATTACCAAAAAGTTGCTAACATACAGAACCTGTGTTCTACCATAATAAGAAAGGTAGAAGGAAACCCTTGATAATTTGTAAATATTAAGATCCCAGTCTAAATAACTGATGGATTACAGAAAAAAAATCAAAATTGGAAAACATCACAAAATATAAATTGTTCATAAAAGCCATATGCAAAAACTCAAAAGATAGAGAAGTTTGAGTTACTGGACAGAAACCTCAAATTTAGGTGTGTGTATCAAAGAAAAATCAAAGATTAACTATAAATATGTCAGCTATCCAAATAAAGTATAAAAAGAACAATAAAGTAAAATTGAAGAAAGTGGGGGAAACAAAGTAAATAAGGACAGAAATTAATAGAAAATAACTATAGAAAAACTCGAGCATGACAAAAAAACTGGCTTTTTAGGAAAATTAAATCCATAAGCTTCTCATAAGTTTGAACAAGAGCAAACAGGTGAGGAAGTAAAACAAGATGAAGTAAGTAAAGTGGTCTGGAGTTTACAGGGGTCGGAAGTCAGACACTAAGTAGAATAGAGCAGAAACTCCTCCAGGGAGACCCAGGAGCATTTCAAACAGATATAGCTCAACAAATCAGTGGAGAAGATGAAACCATCAATTGAGGGTACCGTAATACTTATAGAAACTAAATGGAGATCTCTGACTCACAGCATACTCAAGATTTAATCCCATGAATGAAAGACCTAGATGTGAAAAGTAAAATTTAAGGCATATAGAAATCATTTATGATCCTGGAGTAGTTGTGGAGCTCTCGATGTTAACCACAATGTGAAATTTATAATGAAACAAAATTATAAATTAGATTACATTAAACTTATAAGTTTAAGTTACAAAACCTTTCAAACATATTTTGAAAACAAGCTAATAATACTATGAGAAAATATTTACAATTCACAAAATTGACAAAAGAGCCACATCCAGAGCTGTTAAATTTGTCTGTCAAGCATTAAAAGTAAATATCCAAATACAAAAATGAGCAAAAAATATGAACAGGCAATTCACACAGGAAGAGACAGGAATCACCAGTTAGACACTTAAAAGGATATAATTAAACCTAAACTAGCTCCATACAGTGGCTACATTAAAATGTCTGATAATGTTGAGCATTAGTAAGAATGTAAACAACTGAGAACATTTGCAGGTTGGTGTCCTAACATTATTTAATTATTCCTCTTCAGACCACAACTTGGCAACATCTTTTATGTCAAGATGCATAAAATCCCAGACTCCTAGAGATTTACGAAGGAGGAGGTGACATCAATGTTCACAGCACATGCATGTTTATTGTAGCCTTGTTTATAGACAGCCTCTGACATATAGTCACACTTCCTTGGTGATTTCATCACTATGCAAACATTATAGCGGGTGTAGGAATAGGAAGCCCCCCATGCATGTGACCGTAACCTCATGAAGCCACACTTGGCTGTATTTGCACAGCAGAATACTATGCAAGCTGTTAAATGGACCAATTTATATCTAGTTGTGTGGAAAACATACAATTCTTTGGAGATAAAAACAAACACTAAAGGATACCACTTACATAAAAAACTGAGCAAATACATTCTTGTGCATGGCACATAGACAACACTGAACACATCCTAGGGAGGACACACAAAGGATGTTCAAAGAATGTTGTTTCCTTTAATGTGTTGCTTTTAATGTTAAGATGTTGATGAGGGAAAACAATATCAGCTAGGTTGAAAAACAATGTTATTCAAAGACCTGCTTTGGTTATAGTTTCTTTTATACACTTTCCAGCTTTCAGGACACTAAAGAATAGTCATTACTGGCCAGAATACAGGGCACCGGGGCAGGTGTTTTTCCCCCAATCTTAAATTATACATCTGCCTTGATAATATTATGGAAGATATGTAACACAATATATTTGTGTGAGTTCTAAGTACTCTGTTGTGTCACAGGCTAGCTAATCAGACAGTGAGAGATCTCAGCATTAATTTCTTCAAGTTCTGAATTGTAGGACATCATACTGCTTCAAAATAGTTTTGCCATGGCACAGAGCAGAATGGTTAAAAAAAAAAAAGAGAGAGACAAAATATCTTTAACACCACGATCAACTCAAGCTGTCATTTTGCTGCAGCCTGTCTTACTAGGGAGTGAAAGTAGCCATTGTTCAAGCGAATACTGCTTTTGGAAATTAGAGTCATGTAGAAAACCTGTGGATTTTCCCAAACCTGAATATCACACTTGATACAAGGTAGCAATGAAAGGTTGCTGGATGTTCTTATTACTCTGTGGCTATCCTGGGAATTCCTCTCAAGATCTAGTGTGAGAATCCTGGCCATGTTCTTGACCCATCCTGGTATGTGAAGACCGTGTTTATTTTCAACCACCAAATTAGTCCTGTTTGTACCACCCCATTTGCCATATCCTTGGTGTGGCGACCTTTTCTGCTTTGCTTTGTTTATTAAGGGGACGGCTCTGCTGACTGTAGATCAGAGAAGATGGGAAGATCTGAAGAGCCGACTGAAGATAGCTCAGCCTCTTCATCTCCCACCTCGCCCGGGTATCAAAGATGCTCTGATTTTATTCATGTGGGGCACTAGTGTTCATGATTCCCCAGGAGTCTAAGATTTCAATAAAAATAATAATCGTGAGGCCACTAGGCAGTTGTACAGAAGTTAATGTAGAAACAGGCTCCCAACTACAGATCTCTCCGTAGAGTATTCAAATCACCCACCCGAGGCCCGCACTTCAGGGCTCTCAGGATAAGCCTTAATGAAAAGATGAATTCTTAAGTGATATATATTTGTGCTTGCCTTTTAAAAATATGAGTGAAATGTATTGAAGTGACAGAAATTGAATGATGCGCTTCTGCCTCCAACACTGAGGACATCACGCGCCGTCGTTTTAAATATTCAGAGCCAGCCGTTCCTGCAGAAACATAATAGATGGAGCTGTAGGGGGGGAATGTCATGGGGCTTAAGAGGAGTGGGAGGGAAAATGAAAGCCAGGACAGGAGAGGAGACCGCTGTCTAAAGTGTCCTCTCCTCAACCTTGCTTTTCCAGATAACGACGGTTTCAGAGCTAAGATGTATGACATAACCCAGCATCCATTTTTCAAGAGGACAATTGCGTTGCTGGTCCTGGCCCAGTCGGTGTTGCTGTCTGTCAAGGTACTTCCCAGCACCCAAGAATCTCGGGGTGAATTTGTTACTCATCGCTGTGTCCGGCACGTGCGTTCACCACCTGTGGCGTTTGGGATCAGACGCTATAACGCGCATCCTGTGTGGTGGGAAGTAGGGGGTCTTCCTGCGTCCCGTGGGTGTGGCCAAGGGTGCATGTTGCCTGTTGTCTCTTCCAGTGGGACGTGGAGGATCCCGTGACCGTTCCCCTGGCAACAATGTCCGTGGTCTTCACCTTCATCTTTGTTCTAGAGGTACAGAAATGTCTCAGCTGGGTCTGGGGGCACAGCACCTGTTTGACAGCAAAACGCAATCCTCTTGATGGCCCCTGGCTTTTGAAGTCTTTGGTGGCCAGGCATCCTCTGCAGATCTTTCCTTTCTGGTCTGTTCTGCTGAACTTGAGGAAAGACTTCATGGATGCTCCAGATTTTTCTGAGAACAGGAACTGCTCATTGCTATTGATTGACATCTCTGAATGTTGGCCTGTCTGGATGTGCAAATTCAAAGATTCATTGCCAACTTCCCAAATCACTACAACTCATGGACTCGGCCTACAGCCTGAGAGGAGAGGGAGTTGGGCCCAGACAAGATTATTTGAATACACAGGCCATGTAATATCACTTTCCAAGATAATCTTTGAAATACTAGCAGGTTCTTATTTCACCCCATACTGTTCAGTGTTTCTCAAGAAACCACAGGGAAGAAAACCACCCTGTTTCAGAACTTGTCATAAACTAAAAAGAAAAGAAAGTAGAGAGAATAGATTCATGACAGAGTAAAACACAGAGAGAAAGAAAGATGAATGATACATTCCTCTCTTTGGTTTCTGTATCCTTAAAAAAAAAAATGCTTGTAGTTTCTTCATTGACATAGGTGCTGAACACTGGGCTCTGTTCACTCTCCTCATGCTTCCCCAGGTCACAATGAAAATCATAGCCATGTCACCCGCTGGCTTCTGGCAGAGCAGAAGGAATCGCTACGACCTGCTGGTGACGTCGCTGGGTGTGGTGTGGGTGGTGCTTCACTTTGCCCTCCTGGTAAGCTCACAGCCAAGGTCACTTTCGTTGCTAATTTCCTTTCAGGTAAATTTTTACTCCAGGTCAGCCCACTCTCAGGTGACAGATTTCGCCAGCCGTAACCCCAGCCTAGATGGGGCTTCAGATGTGTTCACACGTGTGCCTATGCACAAACCCACACACCCCTCAAAGGCCTTCCAGGATGTGAGCCAAAAGACAGAGCCTTGAGGTTTTCAGGCTTAGTCCTTCATTTCCCCACAGGATAAAAACGAGCAAGAAGACAAACACAGAATGCACCCACAAGCTGGCAGGACCCTCAAACCCAGTTTTCTGGCTGAGGCATAGCACTGTGATTTCCAGGCATGGTGGGTCCACCTGCCAGCAGTCAGCATCCCAGGTGGGGCCCCCAACTCTTCCGCTCCTTATTTGCTACTGGACACGCAGCCACCGTTCTCTAAACGTCCTCTAAATCAGTCCCCGTTTCGTGTCTCGTTCCCACTTCGTGCCCAAATGCGTTCAGTCGCCCCCACCCACTTCGGGCTGTGGTCCAGCTCAGATCTAGCACAGGGGGCACGCTTGATCACCATCTGGAGCCACGCTGACCGACAGAAGTAAAAGGTGGGCGTAGACACCATTTTCTAAGTTCAGGAGCCCCGCTTACAAAGTAAGAAAGAAACAACAGGCCCTCCGTGGTGGCGCAGCGGGTTAAAGCACAGCACTAGGAAGCTAAAGCCACTTCCGCATGAGTTCGATCCCTGCCTGTCCCGGAGGTGACCACATGGTGCGGCAGACCTGTCCTGTCTTGCGAGCTGCTCCCCCCAGCAGTGGACTTCGTCGATCTGCCTGTTCTGCTCCCTACTCTGTCTCTGGTGAAGCCTCTCGCCGCCCCTGAGCCTCTGCCCTGTACCCCAGTTCTGTATGCACAAATAAATCTTTAAAAAAAAAAAAAAAAGAAACAGCATACATTTTGTAACCTACCATGTCCACAAGTTCCCCTCACTAGGCCCGCAGCATGAAATGAGAAGGGGAGCTGTGTTCCCACTCTCCCTCTCATACCACGTCCTTGTCTCGATGCATATTTCACCGACACTGGCCCGTGCCGCATTTCAGAAGTTGCCCGTGGCCAGAGGCGGCTGCCTTGCTGGGCCACACACCTCGGGAACACCTGGTCCTGGTCTAGGTGTGGCCACTGTCATGTCCCCATCCAGTTATTTGGCTTCAGCAACACTTTGTTCCCTAGTCTGAACTGAGGGAAATTGCTCCATACGCTACCTATCCCATGTGGGCATTTTGAAGATCATGTATGAGACATTTTCTCTAAATTTAAACATATAAACTCTTAATGTTGTTATAAGTACTTTCTTTAAATTACTTTTCCTTGTTTGTTACTTCTCCAAAATCAACACGATGGCCCCCCTGTCCCCATGTGTCCTCTGTCCCCTTTACCCGAGGGAATTACTCTAGGAAACACATGCATAAGAGCCTTGGCACAAGGCACTCACTCCCTACCACTAAGTCCTGCTTTCCTCTGAAATTACTGTGCTCAGGAAGATCTCAAGCATCCTTAAGAAGCTGTTGCTCATCTCCAGCATCCGGGCGGAGCCACGGCTAGGTGGGAGCTGCTTCTTCACCTGATTTTCTCAAATAATAAATGGTTTCCGGCACTAACAGTGTGTAGGTCACTGTGAGAGGAATGAGAAGAATGTAGCAAGCAAAACAAAGACTTTCTGTTCTGAACACCTTCACCCTGGAAAGCTAGGTGGCGTTCACGGACTGCCCCAGGTCCGTGAGAACTGATACAGAAGAGGAGGAGAAGATGACCCAAGGGGGTGAAGAAGGGGCTGCAGCTGGAGGAGGAGGGGAGACCATGAGGGATGAGGAGAGAGCATGTAGCTGGAGCAGAAAGAACAAGAGCAACATGACCTTGGAGCCCACGTGGAATATTTGGGTTCTCATCCAAGACGCCGTCTGGTGTCGTTGCTTCCAGAATGCAAAAGGAAAGGGATCTAGAGTAGGTTTAGCGCTAGTGGGCAAAGAAGTATTGCTGGGACCATCGTTTTATTTTTCTCAAAAAAAAAAAAAAAAAACTGTAGCCCAGAGCCTCTCGGTTAAGCAGAAGGGTAGAGTAGTCTTAATTCCGGCTCTCCCCAGAGATGAAACCTCGTCCCCACTTTTCTGTGTGCCGGCTTGTACTGCCAAGAACCTCAGGTCCCGGAAGGATGGTCCTGGCCGCCATCTTCTGCTGTGAGCTGCTAGGAAGCAGGACACAGCCCTGGCTCCCTCCAGAGATGCTTCTGTGAAGACACATTCACTTCCTCGTGCCTCACTCCCGCTCTCGCGGACCCCCCTCCCGGGGGCCCATCTGTGACTGCTTCGAGGGCTCCTCGAAGAATCCTGCCTTGGCATCAGCTTAATGTCAGAGTTGTTTTGCAGCACTAGCCGGTGGGATCTTTGTTCCTCAGATGGAGCTTTCTTAGTCATAAAAGTACCGAGTCATCGCTTGCTGCTGATCTCACACTCGAAGGAGCTAGCAGGTGTTTCTGAGCAGGGAGGACATCTCTGAAGTCAGCTTCCAGAGAGAAAGCTGACCTCTCCCTTCGTCTCCCGCACCACAGACCTCTGTGCCAGCACCCTTGATCCGTCTCACTTGACTCCATGTTGTAATAAGTCACCCAAGGTCTTTTTTTTTTTTCCTCTTAAAATCTTAGGGTTTTTTCCTTGTATTTTTTGAGGCAGTGTTGGTTTACCTCACTGTATAAGGGCACAGTGGGCTCACCCCTCTTCAGATGTCTGTCTCCTCATCACACCCACCAGCAGAACCTCCACCACTCTCCCCTCCCTAGTCTCGCTTGCAAATACAGTATTCAGCTGAGCAAAACAGAGATGCCAGTTTCATTTAAGATTGGATTTTATAGCTGCTATTTATTCATGAATTTGGGCAGTGACCTTTTTAGCACCTTTTCAAGATAAATTTCTCACAGGAATGTCCCCATTTTATGAGGCTAATTTTTCAGTAGACTTCACCAAATAAAGAGCCTAAACTGAAAACTGGAACCGGAACGAGGCTTTTCTTGCGGTGAAAGCTCTCTCCTGTCTTCCTCCCAGAACGCGTACACCTACATGATGGGCGCGTGCGTGATCGTCTTTCGGTTCTTCTCCATCTGTGGGAAGCACGTAAGTACGCGGTGAAGAAAGCTGTCATAAGTCGCACAGATTCTGTGGAAGAAAATGGGGCTGTTGGGCTCGGCTGCCCTGCTGCGTTCGGGGCTGTCGTGAAGGGCCGCTAGACATCACTCACCAGGAACAAATTTCAAATATTAAATGAATCAGTCGCTTAGTCAGTTTGCGATGTCTTCCCTGATATTTGTGTGGGCTTTTGTGCCTGCGTATTTACTAAGGACATTCAGTCATCAACTCAAGGTAAATATCAGGATGAAAAAAAAAAAGCAGTGGTCTTTCTTCCAACTTTTTATTTGTATTGTCTTTGTTTTTCATGAGTTTTTTTTTTTTCTGCAAAGAAACGTCATCTTGAGCGAGCCCTCTTAATCAGTCATCCCAGATTTCTTTATATTCATTGTGAATGTCCACCCATGTACTTCCACACATAATTTTCATAACTTAAAGTCAGGCTGCCTTTCTGTTCCTAACATATAAAGTCCATAGATGTACATTCCCCATGTTTTCATATGTGATGGTCATTTCTTGGGCTAACATTACTGCGATCTGTTTTTGTGAGTCTCTGCCTGTGTGAGTCTGTTCAGTCCTCCACTTCAGCGTTTCTCACCTCTGAAATCCCCAGGTATTTTTCTGAGCCCGTCCCTCTGTCTGCTCAGCTCCGTAACACAGTCACTGCTGCTTCCCTTCCCCAAGGCACCTTTAGTACATGACTTTGTAAACGAGCAGATGGCAGAATTTTACGGTCAAGATGAAAACCTTAACTAGGTTAAGTGAGTTCATCTTAACGAGTTCACCTTAGCCAGGTTACCCTCTTCAAAAGACACTTTTCTCCCATCCAACCAAAATTTAAAGACTCTTAAGGAAAATATTCTAAAGAATAGTCTCGAGTAAAGTTAATCAGTAAGACAGCGAATAAAACCTTTAAATTTCACAACTAAATCCTGAGTCTACTTGCCGGCAGCCAAAACTGTACACAGAGAAGTAGAAGCAAGAAGCGAGGACATAGCAGGCTAAAGAGTAGGGGTGTAATTGTGTTCATTTGGCTGAGGGACTGAGTAGCTTGAATGTGATACATTTCTCTCTGTCTAATTACCTGTTGAATATTACTCAGACTTAGTACCTAGCAAACAGTTTTTAAATGTGTTTTTGGATCCACTCCGCAGCCAAGCAGCTTGAATGCCCACCCTCCCCAGGTATCTGTGCTCAGGGAGAGGCCTCACCCGCCCATCGTCCTCTCCCCGCCCCCCCTCCAGGTAACTCTGAAAATGCTCCTCCTGACGGTGGTGGTCAGCATGTATAAAAGCTTCTTTATCATCGTCGGCATGTTCCTCTTACTGCTGTGCTACGCTTTTGCTGGAGTCGTTTTATTTGGGACTGTGAAGTACGGAGAGAACATTAACAGGTGGGCCATCTCTCTGTTCATGTAGCAAGCAACGTTTTTATAGTAAAAACATCATCCAAAAGAAACCGGAATGTTTTTAAACAAAGGGAAAGAAGGCAAAGCCGTTAAGTCAGAAATTAATAAAAATAAAATGGCCGAATTTCAAAAGATGTTTTGCTAATTGAAAATGGCATGCATGTTTATTCTAGAAGCCTTAGAAAATTAAGAACAAAAAGGATAATCCCATTGTCACTTAGAAATAGCTACTTACAATATTGCAGTAAATTCCACCTCTTTTCTATCCATATACTATAAAAAAAACTATACATTATTACATTTTTAAAAAGTAAAGGATTTTGAGATGGATTTGAATTTCTCTTTATCAAAATACAGGGAGTTGAGAATTCTATATGAAACCTATTTTTCAATGATTATCTTACATTTTGTGGAAATATAGTTATTTTTCAGTCTTTGCACAAGAAATTGCATACAAATATGTCTGGTTGCAGAGGTTGTTGATATGAATATAAAAGATGTGCCATCTTTTATAACAATCTGTAGCAAAATGCCACCTTTTAGAGCGAAACCCATGTAAAAGATAGAATCACTTCATTACTAAACCTCGTTCCCCAGCTATTGCTGATGAATGGCATTAGGTTGGCAGCACTGTGCTAAGGGTGGGTCCTTAAGACGGCTGTCATTGGGGGCAAGTATAAATAACAAACAAGGCAGTGTGACCTTAACCCTGGAAGATGCCACTTAGCAGCCAAGAGTGCCCCCATGTCGACCTGTCTGGATGGTAACAAACGCTGCTATCTCATGGCAGACCGCATCACTCACATTCTGTTCTGTCTTTCCCAAATTAGGCATGCCAATTTTTCTTCCGCTGGCAAAGCTATTACTGTGCTGTTCCGAATTGTCACCGGCGAGGACTGGAACAAGATCATGCATGACTGTATGGTAATCAGCTTTGTCCCTAACAGCCTCCACTCAGACAGAGACTTCCTGTCATCCTTGCCAACATCAGGGCTTTGTACAAAACACAGAGCCTGGACATGCAGGCCACAAAATTGCATTCGCTTGTATTATAATATGTGGCCCCACAAAGCATCGCCCGTGGTCCCACGTGGGTCGCTGTAGTTCAAGTCGCTACGTGTGATGTGAACATGGTTCTTTCCTTCGTACCTACTGTAGTCGCATGCAACCCGGGAGGTCCTGTTCCTGGCTTTGTCCGACAGATAGTCTCTAAGCCCATAATTCGTTCTGGGCCATTGCTAGGTGCTTGGTCTTGGCCAGTCCTAAGGCATCCTCAAGGACGTGGTAGGAAGAGCCCTGAGTGTCTTCTCTCTTGGTGTCCGCCCTGCAGGCCAGTCCTTCACTGTTTTTCACATGTCAGATGAAAACAAAAACCCTCCAAGGACCCTGCCCTGGGCCAGCACCGCCAGCGTGTGTTCTCCCAGCCTGCTCCTCTACTCCCGCGCAGCACACAGCACAGCTGGGCTACGTTACTGCTTGATTTGTTCCTTGTGTCTCCAGATCAGCACTACCCAAAAGAAATTCCCGCAGTGATTTCTGAAGACATCAGGAGCCGCTAGGCCTGTGGGGTTATGGAGCACCTGGATGTGACTGGTGCGGCTGAGGGGCTGGATGGCACATGCAATTTAGCTTTAATGGATGTGAATTTGCACTTAAGTGGTCACATGCAGCTGTGGCGCTGTGTGGGTCTCCAGCACTTGGGAGGGAGCAGCAGGGTCTGTGTTTTGCTCACTGGCCTGACCTCAACACTTGGCAAGCTCAGCACATAGTAGGAGCTCAAGACCTTTATGCAGAAATGGACAGGGATGGAATTAACCGAGCCAAATACAATAGAGGGCAGAATTTTAAAACCTCTAAACAGAGATCACGCAGAATGTTATGGGAACACAGAAGAAAGACCTGGCCTCTCTGGCTAAAAATAATCAGGACGCTTCCTCAGAGGTGTGGCCAACTTTGTTAGCCCTGAGAACTAGGGATGCCTCGAATGACTGGGTCCCTTGCTTGTCCACAGCATCCCATTTGACTACACATGGCAATTCTCTTTAAATCTCTCTCTTTTTTAACCATTGATAACCTCTTTTATTGCCAATATCCACCATTATCATTCTGTCACTTCTTACGTGGACTGCTGCTATAATCTCTGCTCTCATCCGTTCTGGAAGCGCAAACGCAGGGTACTCACAGTGACGATTGGTCTCCAGCTGAAATACCTTCTCTGCTTCCAACAAGATAAAACCAGCACTCCCGCCTGGTGCTTTCATATGTCCCCATATTCTGCTCCCAGCTTGGGTGCTTGGCTTTTCCAGTGATGTCTGCGCCTAAATTTGGGGGGCACTTTTTAATCTCACCGTCTTCCTCTACTCGGAAGTTTTTTTCCTCCACCCTTCTCCACCCCACACAGTAATCAAATAACTACAAATACTGTATTTTCATGTCCTCAGTCTCAAGCTCTGACTTAAGTCAGAGAAAGTCTTTCTTGTTGCCTCCGCTTTGACTGTCTGCAGTTAGTATCACAATGAGATCTTACTACTTCGGGCTCATGGGGGTGGGAAAAAGTGTCCCCAGGAGGAAATCTGTTCATTTTCCTTGTGCATCCTGGATGGTCTGGAATTGTACAAGACTGTGGGCCCAGAGCAAATGAGATATTTGTTTGGCTGTTTGCCAGATGATATGCCCAATACATGTGGCTTTGGAGAGGTGACTCTGAAGTTGATTATATTTTACTTGGCTAGGAACATGCTCCCAATGGAAATTAACAGGAATTGCCATTCTCTGTGTTCACCCTTTCCTCTCTCTGTCTCCCACCCCCCCGCAGGTCCAGCCCCCCTTTTGTACCCCAGATGAATTTACATACTGGGCAACAGACTGCGGAAATTACGCCGGGGCCCTCATGTATTTCTGCTCATTTTATGTCATCATTGCCTACATCATGCTGAATCTGCTTGTAGGTAAGTGAGGCTCGTGGAATATTTGTAATCTCTTTAAACTCAGGTACTTAGATAATTATGTGCAATTTTCAAGTAATTATCCTGGATTGCGTGGGGTGGGTGTTTCATGGCATTAATTATAAATTGCTGCCTCTTGATCCAGGAGCTGAAAAGACCTTTCCAAAGCATGTAAATGACAGTTGATTGCAATTTCAAGAGTTGAACTGTTTATTGTGATCATTAATTTCCAAAGAGCTCTTCTCATGGATTGAGTGGAACATATATGAGCCTTTCACAGCCTCAAAATATCACATTATGTTTTTTTTTTTTAAGATTTATTTTATTTGTACATACAGAACTGGGGTACAGACCAGAGGCTCAGGGGTGGTGAGAGGCTTCACCAGAGACAGAGTGGGGAGCAGAACAGGCAGATCGACGAAGTACAGTGCTGAGGGGAGCAGCGGGCGGGTCAGGAGAGGTCTGCCATGCCATGTGGGTCACCTCCGGGGCAGGCGGGGATCGAACTCATGCGGAAGTGGCTTTAGCTTCTCAGGGCTGTGCTTTAACCCGCTGCACCACCAGGGAGGGCCTCACATTATGTTTTTAAAAGAGCCACATTGTTCCCCCAGCTGTGGGGCCACCCGGAACTCATTTCGACCACTACAGACTATCCTGTAACTCACAGGGAAGAGAGAGAGCCAGCTGGCGCGAAATCCCTATTCACAGAATGTGTATCTCCGCCCTTGACCCTCGTGTTTGAGAAGGCAGGGCTGGATAAACAGCTTAGTCTAGTGTAGACACAGCAACTTGGAAACCATACTAACATGGCCAAAAATTTGGCTTATCATGTAGGTAATAAAATGCACTATTTGTAAAGGTGTTTTCCTATTTCAAAAACATGAAAACTTAGCATCATTTTCTGAATTCTGGGTTGTTGTTTTGTTTTTGTTTTAAGCTATCATTGTGGAGAACTTCTCCTTGTTTTATTCCACCGAGGAGGACCAACTATTGAGTTACAACGACCTCCGCCACTTCCAGATCATCTGGAATATGGTGGATGACAAAAGAGAGGTGAGAGAACGGGTTGTCTTTTCGGGCCCCACCTCCAAGACACTGCTGTGTTTCAGACATTTCAGTGGTCTGGTGATCGCTGTGGATGTGCATTAAGTTTGGAGTGGCCGCTGATGAGCTGCAGAAATCCATTGTTGACATGTCAGTAGAATTTGCTAGAAGGGGAGAGGGACAGAGAGTCCCCCCTCATGTCCTAAACAGCTGTGGATACCGTTTGCTTGCCGACATCCAGAAAGTCAGCAAGGAGAGGAAGCCCAGGGAGCCCAGCCAGGGGCAGCAGAGGGTGAAGAACAAGCAGCAGTGGAGACAGTAGAACACCAACTCAGGGCCACGGCAGCACCACGTGGCAATCCCAAGTAGAAGGCAAGGGAGGTGTGTCCGTGGTATATGATGCTTGTTATTTTGGATTTTTGGACTTACTGCTTGAATGTTTTCATCATTAGTTTACCCATGATTTCCTAGGATGAGCTGAAGCAACAGTGCTTCTTCCTCCTCACCCTTCTCGTCCCCCTTCTTATCCCAACAGCCAGGGGCCATTCTCTCACTCACAGAGACAGGAATTCAGAGGTCACCAGTTCCCCACCTCTTCCCAGGGCCTTCCCTCAAAGGCATAGCCAGATTGGGCCAGTACCTTCTATTACTTGGAAGGACACTTCATGATTAGAGTTGCAGAACCTTGGCCTGCTCTGACCGGGACGAGGCCTGTGTGTAATTGTTCTTCTAGTGGAGAAGTTCTGGGAAGGGTAAACTTTCACAGAAAACAATTAGAATACTTGCTTAGCGTTCATAGAAGCCACGTTATTTACGGTGCATTGGTAACAACCCAAGTGCCCATCAGCAGACAGTTGGATACAGGAGATGGGGTTTACATACACAGTAGAATATTACTCAGCCTCAAGGAAGGTGAAATCCTCCCATTTGCCACATGGATGGACCTTGACGGGACTGTGTCAAATGAAATCAGTCAGCTGTTGAAGCACGAACACCCTAGGATCTCACTCGCACGTGGGAGATCAACAAAACTAATGAACAAACAAAACAAAAATAAGCCCTTCCACTATAAAAACAAATTTGTAACCAGAAGAGGCGGGGGCCGGGGTAGGGGGGTGGGGAGTGGTCCCTCAGATACAAGGAGCCAATTGTATGATGATGGTCAGAAACTAGACTTTTTGGGGTGAACGTAATGTATTCATATTTAATGTATAAGGCACACACCTGAGACCTATGTAATGTTTTAAACCAATTCTACTTAAACCGCTCTTCCTGGCAGGGGGTGATCCCGACATTCCGCGTTTAAAAAAAAAGTAATTTCATGCAGAAAGTTAAAGGAAGACTCTCCTTTAAGTGACAAGGAAAGGCTGGTTCATGTTTCTTACCCACTTTTGTGCACTCAGCCTGTGTGTTGGGAACACCGTGAGCAGGCCTGAGCTAGTGAAGCGGGATGGGGAGGACTCCACTGGGCAAAGCAAGCAAGTGTGGGGTCTAGGCCTGGATCTGGGGAGGCGATGGGTAACTTGGCACGTCCTGGGGTCCCCTACAGCCCCGAGCAGCAGGCACGCCCCAGCAGGAACTCTGAGTGCTCGGTTGCCATGGCGGCCACCCTGCTCCGGAGAGGCCAGGCCTCCCTTCTGGCCCGGTGCTCTTTGAGAAGCAGCTCAGGCTTTTGCTGTGGCCACTCACGGGGCGCCACGGCCGGTCACAGACGCCGCTCTTCCTGGCAGGGCGTGATCCCAACGTTCCGCGTGAAGTTCCTGCTGCGGCTGCTGCGGGGCCGGCTGGAGGTGGACCTGGACAAGGACAAGCTCCTGTTCAAACACATGTGCTATGAGATGGAGAGGCTGCACAGTGGCGGCGACGTCACCTTCCACGACGTCCTCAGGTAGGCGCCGGCCCGGCCTCAGCCCCGAGAGGCCCGCCGAGATCCAGGCAGCCGCCGGCTGCTGACCCACGCGGCCAAAGGTCTCATGATGAGCAAGCAAGTCCATAAGCTAAAATGCCTCCCTCCGGGGCTCTGACAAGGCCCCGCCACCCCCGGCCCCAAGAGGCCTTCCTCGCTTTCCAGGAGCACGGCAGCCCAAGAAGAGGGCCTGGCCTTGTCTGGGAGCTCCTTTCGGGGCTGTGGCGGGACCCTCTGTGGCTGGAGTCTGCCAGGGGCTGCCGGGCGGCTCTGTGCCGGTGGCCTCAGGTTGGTGGACAGACTCCTGGCAGCTCAGGAGACTCAGACCGGACAAAGAGACAAGCTGGGTCTTCTCCTCTCTGAGGTTTCTGTGTTTGCCATGGCGGCTGCTTGGGACAGCACACACTGAGTGGTCTGAGCAAGACGCTCAGTGTCTCGCAGTCTGAGGTCTTGAGGTCAAGGTGTCAGTGGAGTCGGCTCCTTTCGGGGAGGACAAAGAGGCTCCGCTGACTCCCTTGGCTCATGGGCATCACCCAGTTTTCATGTCTGCCACTCAGATCTGAGCGGCCAGGTCTGTGCTTCCACCTTCCCACGGTGGGGTGTGTGTGTCTTGCAGGACACCACCCCTTCCAGAATGATTGTGTTTTAACTAATCACACTTACGTTCAAATGACATCCTGCTTTGAGATACTGGGGGCAGACTCCAGCATATGTGGGAGGCGCGAGTATGGGAAAGGAGAACAGTTCAGCCCATAGCGGTGTCTTAAGCAGGAGGCCATGGCTAAATCCACTGCCCGTGGCCATAGAAAGGGAAATGGTCACATGTTTACTTTCATTAATCGCTGATGAAATGTAGCATTGTCAGGCGGCACATCACAGGTATGTGAACAACGCCCGTGTCTTTGTCACGAGCAGAAATCATAGTACTTTCAAATCACTTTACTGCTGTGGCCAGTAGCTGAAAATGTCCTTTCTGCACGCCAGCCTTTCTGAGCCATAGATTAACAAGTCACTAGACCTCAGGGAGATGTTATTATTTTTTTTTTAGATTTATTTATTTATTTATTCATACAGAACTGGGTACAGGCCAGAGGTGCAGGGGCGGAGAGAGGCTTCACCAGAGACAGATCAGGGAGCAGAACAGGCAGATCTACAAAGTACACTGCTGAGGGGAGCAGTGGGCAGACCAGGAGAGGTCTGCCATGCCATGTGGTCACCTCCGGGGCAGGCGGGGATCGAACTCTTGGGAAGTGGCTTTAGCTTCTTAGTGCTGTGCTTTAACCCGCTGCGCCACCAGGGAGGGCCCGGGGAGATATTATTATTTCATGCAATAATGAAGAAACAGTTCTATAACTGTATCAGCACCTTTTCAAAGAAAATAATTGGAGAACTGCACTTGGCATTTTGCAATGGAGAATTGCATTTGGGTTTTGCGCACGGAGGTGTCACCCCCCAGCGCGTGAGCCCACGTCTGCATGTCCCCCCGCCCCCAGCATGCTGTCCTACCGCTCCGTGGACATCCGGAAGAGCTTGCAGCTGGAGGAGCTGCTGGCCAGAGAGCAGCTGGAGTACACCATCGAGGAGGAGGTGGCCAAGCAGACCATCCGCATGTGGCTCAAGAAGTGCCTGAAGCGCATCCGAGCCGTGAGTGGGCTGGAGGGCGGGTTTGCGCCCCTCTCGGAGGCGTGGGGGGTTGTTGGGGGGGTGTGGGGGGAGGCAGCGATGGCGCCTCACGGCCTCGCAGCCGTGATACTGCATCCTTAGCAGCACCAGCTGAGGATGTGAATTCTGGTCCAAATTCAGCCACACCCTCTAAGCCGAGTTCGTGAAGTTTCCATTGAAGTCCCATTTTTCTAATAGAAAACAAATGTTAAATTTGGTTTACTGCTATTAAAATATTTATGGTCTCCATTTATTAAACTCAGCTATTCAAAGTGCCCAAAATCTATATTTACCGGCAACTGAATCCCCAGAACCACGTAACATGGCCCCCCAAAATTCCAAAGTACATGGGTGATGTTGCTGGTCTTTAATTAAATGTCTCCTGGGATTATATTTAATCATTAATTAAATTTAATGATCCGCTCGCTGCTCCCTGAACTCGAAGTTGAAAGATTCTCTCACTCAGCAACAATGGCCAAATATTTTGCTAACAATGGGCATTTCTATGAGGTCATTCTTTCCTGAATGCTTTTGACTTTAAGCTTCCCACACAGTGGGGGGGGGGGATATAATTAATCACTAAACATGGATATGTAACAGGTATTTTTAGACGACTTCTCCCAGCAATGCCTGCTGCAGAGACATAACTTTATATTGTAAAGGAAAAAGAAACACTATGGCCTTCTGCCGTCAGGCCGGTGACAGGCCGGCCCACCGCCCTGGGCTCCAGGGAGCAAACCCGCCCTCCCCAGGCCCTGGCAAGGTTCCAGGCGCCCTGGCTTCGGAGGGTGCCCAGGGAGTGCCATCCCTGGGCTGGCCGGCACTGACGTAGAGCCAGTGGGAGCAAGAGGAAAGAAGGTGAAACCACATGGCTTCATGAGCACACGGGAGAACATGGAGGAAAAACCAGAACACCCACATTAGCGAATTAAATACAAGCAAACACAAGCAAACCTGCGTGAACGTGACTGTCGGAGGAGTGACTCAGTAAGACAGGCTGGGGCCCGCTCGGTCGCTGAAGGGTCCTGATGTCAGCTGATGCTTATCGGGGAAACGCAAAAGGGCACACAGGCAGGGTCTAGGGAGAGAAGAAACTTCGATTGGAGCCGTAGAACTTTGGGGGTGGGGGGCGGCAGCGGGCTGCTGTGGGCCTGCTGAAACCAGCTCCGTGTTTCCATAGAAACAGCAGCAGTCCTGCAGCATCATCCACAGCCTTCGGGAGAGCCAGCAGCAGGAGCTCAGCCGCTTCCTGAACCCGCCCAGCATCGAGACCACCCAGCCCAGCGAGGACGCGGGCGCCAACCCCCAGGACGGCAACATGCAGCCCGAGGTACGCGTGGGCCCCGGGCACAGCTGCTTCCGGGCTTTGGGAGGTGAACGTGAAGTGGGCGGTGTCCGCGGAGCCGTTTCAGGACAGCGCTATTTATATTTTTATAAGATGTATTTATTTCACATGCAGAACTGGGGTACAGGCCAGAGGTGCAGGGGCGATGGAGGACTCCCCAGAGACAGAGTGGGGGGCAGAACAGGCCGACTGATGAAGTCCACTGCTGAGGGGAGCAGCGGGCGGGTCAGGAGGGGTCTGACCATGTGGGTCACCCCCGGGGCAGGGATTGAACTCATGCGGAAGCGGCTTTAGCTTCGTATTGCTGCGCTTTAACCCGCTGCGCCACCAGGGAGGGCCCTGATAACGCTATTTCTTAAATTTAAAAAATCCGTTAAAATACAGTGATCCAGATTATGGTTGGGTCTCTGCCATCCCAGTCTCCACATGTATGGATGGGCTGAAAGAAAAGCAGCTCTCCTGGGTGAAAGGATTCTGCTGGTGTCTGGGCTTACTCTGAGTGGGGTGATTTCTCCCGACTTCTGGAACTCGGCGGCCCAAAGCTCTGGTTGCTGTTTCCTTCTCACCCGGTCACAGGCATTTGCAGCAAATTGACTGAAAATGCTGGTAGTTGGGCCCCAAGCGCCTTCACTGGTGATCTTCAGCGATGGCTTCTCCTTCCTTAGCTGGGCACCGCAAGAGCTCCTGGAATGTGGGTGATGAGTGGGAACCTTTATTTGCTAGGGCACAGCCTATTTTCAGACTCCATCTATAGGTCCATAAAAAATAGACAATAGCATCCTGGAGACCCTCAGCTGGGGGTTAAGGGGGGCTGACCCTTCCTGGGGCATAGTTCTGTCTGGGCTGGGGCTAGACCAGCACCCGAGAGAGTGGCAACAGTCAGGAGTCAGCAGTAAATGCCTCAGCCAGGGTGCAGGCCCAGCAGGGGCTGCAGGGGGCTCTGGCCCCAGCCTGCAGAGATGATGTGCTGACCCTGGCAGGGGCCGGTGTGGCCTGTCCACCGGGAGCTTCACGATGGCCCCCTCCTGCCCACCCGAGATGGCTAGCAAGCCCTCCTGTGCGGGGCCAGGTTAAGAGCAGACACCTGCAGGCTGAGAAGACAGGGAAGGTGACACACCGGGGCTCTTCGGGTTTGGGGGGAAAGCCCAGAGGGGAGAGCGATGTGAGGAAGCCCAAGGGGGAAGGTGACCGACCAGGGTAAAGCGCGTGGAGAAGCACCGCCTCTCTCTGGCTTCCGTGTTACACTGCTAGAAGCTTCCCCTCCCGGACGCATGGCAGATTGCAGCTGCTGAGAACTTGCAGCCTGACCCCCCAGGTGGCGAGTGTCCCCCCCAGCTAGGCCATCCTGCTGCCTCTCCTTCCTGGATGTGCCTCCCTTGCCCTAGTAAACGGGGTGTCCCGGGCATGGAGGCTGGGGGAGGCGATGGGCATGGTGCCCCCAGAGCTGTGCTGCTGGGGAGACTCGCCTCCTTTCTCCACTGCATGTTGCGTGCTGGGCGCTCACTCGTCATGACTCTTGGCCCATTTCTTTTTTAAAAGAATTATTTTATTATTTGTGCATACAGAACTGGGGTACAGGCCAGAGGTGCAGGGGGTGAGAGGATTCACCAGATACAGAGTGGGGAGCAGAACAGGCAGATGGACAAAGTGCACCGCTGAGGGGAGCAGCGGGCGAGGCAGGAGGGGTCTGCCGCGCTGTGTGGGTCAGCTCCGGGCATATCCAACTCGCACCGAAGCTGGCAGTGCTGCGCTTTTACCCATTGTGCCACCAGGGAGGGCCCTGGCCCACTCTGACTCTCCCTTCTCCATGGTAAACACTCGGGGCCAGTCTGCCTCCCAGGTGTTCTTCCTTTTTTTAATGTAATGCGGGCCCAGGCCAGGGCAGAGAGGAGGCCATGACCATGATTGTGCCCACAGACCAGCAGCCAGCAGCAGCTCCTGAGCCCCACCCTGTCGGACAGAGGGGGCCGCCGGCAGGACACGGGGGACGCCGGGAAACCCCAGAGGAAGTTCGGGCAGTGGCGCCTGCCCTCCGGTAGGTCCGCTCGGCCCCTCTCCCGCACGGACAGTGTCTCCTCCCGCACACACAGGCCCTCGGCTAGGTCCGCTCGGCCCCTCTCCCGCACCGACAGTGTCTCCGCCACACACACAGATCTGGGCCGCGGCTCTCAAGACACAGGTGTGTGTCTTCAATTGCTTCCGGCAGGGAAGCGAGGGAAGGACGCTCCCCTTATCAGAAACGGTCCTTGCAAAACAGCTTCTCCACAAGGAGCTGGGCTGGCCTCCTGGTCAGCAGGTCGGAGGGGCAGCACCCGTGGACAAGTGAGGTGATGCCACACAGGCATCACGAGCATGCAAGAGGGTGTTCCCGCCACCCTTCTCGGGACCGACTGGCTGTGAGCACCCCCACGGGCTCACGGACTCTCGTTCATCCCACAGCACCAAAGCCAATAAGCCACTCGGTCTCTTCGGTCAACTTACGGTTTGGGGGGCGGACCACGATGAAGTCTGTCGTGTGCAAGATGAACCCCATGACAGACGTGGCTTCCTGCGGTTCCGAGGTCAAGAAATGGTGGACCCGGCAGCTGACCGTGGAGAGCGACGAGAGTGGGGACGACCTCCTGGACATTTAGGGGGGGTCGCTGTGGCGACGGTCTGTGGTGCAAACTGCTGTTTTCCTCCACTGTCCACAATCTGTAAAGGACTCAAATTTAACTCCAATCTCTTGGGAGTTTTTAAAACTTCGTTTCTGTTCTGCCGTAGGAAAGCATAAAGCATAGTCTGTCAAAGCTGTATGTTGATGGGTTATTTCCATGTATTGAAGAAAATTTGCATAATGTCAGTATTGGTGATATTAGAAGTGATACCAGTGTCAGATGTAGGTGAGTCACAAGTTTTATCTATCCTGTCTATAAACTAAGGTGTATAGTCACATATGCTCATGTATTATTCTCCCACCCCCCTCCCAGCCTCCAGAAAAGGACCCTAATTCCAGAGTGGCTGATTTGTACCACCGAGGAGCTGTAGTTTGAGTTCACATTTTCCCCACATCCACGAGAAACACTTCTCTTGGGAGAATCTATTATTTGTGATTGATCTGAAAAGGTCAGCCCTGAGCTCATGCTAAAATGATAGTAGTTTTACAAACTACACATTCTGAATTTTAAAAACTATATTCTTTTTTCATGTTATTTTTTAAAAATAGGCACAAGTCCATCCGTTTCTGCTTTCACCCTGATGAGATGTTTCCTTATAAGACCACGGTGTGCAGGTACTGGGCAAAGAAATTGCCCCAGAGAAATAACTGATTTTACAACAAACTTTTACATAGATCATGTGTGGGCGGGGGCAGGCATAGTTACTGAATGATATTGAGATTCTTAAAAAAGTTTTTAACTACTGAGAATTGCAAAAAGAGGAAAGCTTCATGATTCAATTTATCGAAACACATCTCTGAACGTGTGACCCTATCACGGCTTCCTGCGAACCAAGGCTAGATCCATTTTGCCAGAAATCAACAAAGACGCCTCGTGCGATCTCCATCCGCCATGGTTACGCCAGTCCTGGAAGACTTCCCACTAGCAGAATCTCCTAGGCGAAAGTTCACTCTGAAACCCCAGCGTGGGTACCCCACCACAGTGTTTGGTTTCCCACGCCAGTGGTGCGCATCGGCAGGGAGATCACAGTGCAGCGTCACTACCGAGTACCTGTGGCGCTGATCTTGGCTCCAGCAAGAAGTGGGATTGAGTCCTGAATGGCGTTATTCTTCACTGGAGGTCCGCTGCTGGGGTTCTTTCTTTTAACAGAGAGATTATCTCAGAATCCCTTGACAGCAGGTTTCTTGATGATCTCTTTTTCTCTGTTTAACTTTCTTAAGATAGCATTCCTTCTCCTTAACAGAGATGGCTCTGTGGGCAGTCTATTGTTGATAGAACTAATTGTGAAACTATGATAATGGTCCACTCAAGGCAGCGCCGCTGAAGGGATTTTCTTTGGTTTTATGTTCATTTGAAGTTTACTTTTTGTACATAAGAAAATGAAATAAATACTGGATTTGTAAAAGATTTTACTCTGAATTGCGGATCATTGCTAAATCTTTGTGTGTGTTGGGGGGCTGTGATGGCAGAATAGGGTATCCCCAATACTTGGTAAGCCCTGAATTTGAATATTCTGTCTGTAATTTGTTGGGGGAAAAAAAATCTCTGTCCCTGATATTCATTTCAGCTCATCCCCAAAGCCGGAATGTTCCTTTCACGCTGCTGTGCATGCGCTGAGTGGACACCCTGCACTTCCAAACCAGCAGGACAGTAGGAAAAGCTCATAGGTGGCCAAGCCGCTGCCCTGTGCTAGTGCTGCATGAAAACAGATTTTTTTCTTGGCTCATTGCTCTTGGGTAATACAGCTTCATTCTCACAAAACTGCTGTGCCTCCCTAAAGCTGTGGTTGATGCTCAGCAGAGCATCGTTGCGGCTCATTCCGCAGTGAGCAAGCACAGCAGAGCAATGCATTTGAAGCCACAGTCCCCTCGTGGCAAGGGAGTGAAACAGACAGGCCACGACAGAGGACGCCTCTCTGCCGTGTCCCTGCCGTGGTGGAGAGGACAGGTAAGTGCCACCCCCTTTTTCATTGTACATAAACTTAAGGGCAATCTGGTTATGCAGATGGGAACACTCGAGCCACACAGTTCCCTGGACCTCGGGGGTGGGGGGGAGATTCTAACCCCATGCTCATGCTCCCCACCACCTTTAATTACAGCTCATCTGTGGTTCCAAGGCACCAGAAAGCAGAAGGGAGAGAAGGCTTGACGTAGAGCTCCCAGGGGGAGCAGACCACACACGGTTGGCATAGGGCAATTCAAGGGGATTCAAAGAGGATGGGGGAGTGTGGTCACTCTGAAGCTACTCACTCTTCTCAGTGGTGAGACGTCTCCAGAGCAACGCCGGTCAGCAGAGATTGGCGGTGGTCTCCACACTGAGTAAGGTAAGGACTCGAAGGAAACACCGCAGCTATAAAGCCTCAGGCCAAAGCAGTTTCAAGCCAGCTGAGTGAGGTGTGGCTGGTCCTTGCAGGGAAGGGCATATCCTAAAGCTCAGTTGTTTCCTGTGTATTCAGCAGTGGCACTTTCTCAAATGCAGCTTTTTACGGGGCCTCAAAACATTAGCCAGGCAAATGCAGGCAGGCCTCGTCAAGACTGAGGTGAGGTTGAGAGCCCCACTTGCAGGCCTCATTTCATCCGTTCCTTATTATGGATTGAATTGTTCCCCCCACCAAAAAAAAGACAGGTGGAAATTTTACCCCCAGAACTGGTGAATGTGACCTTATTTTGGAATGGGGTGTTTGCAGTGCTAATTAGTTAAGATACGTGAGGTCATACTGGAGTGAGGTGGATGATTCATCCAGTTGGACCAGCGAGAAAACGAGACACACAGGAGGGGGAGCCTGTGTGACGACCCCACCAAGATCGCTCTGGACCCTGCCACAGCCAAGGAGCACCTGTGTTTCCACCTGCCACGGGCCGACCTGCCCCCACGGGGCCTTGGAGGAGCTGGGTTCTGCCAGAGCCTCATTTTTGATTTCCAGCTCCCTTTTTAGGTAGTTCGAGAAGGAAGGTAATGCCTAGAGAAAGTTAAATGGCCACCCATATCCAAAACCCCAAGAAACTCTTGTCAGCGTTGCCAAGAAATGCCCAAGGGGGTAAGGCAGCTTCCACCCTGACCTGCTCCTGGGGCTGATAAACTATACATGGGGAGCCCAGTAGAAGGGTGGGGACTCAGAAACTCCTGCACAGTAAGCCCCAGAAACGAATGAGTGAAGCATCTCCTGCACCCCACTGAAGTCAGGAGTCCCCACCATTTGGTACCGTTGTTCCCCCGTGGACTCTGCCCACCCACGCTCTTGCCTAGGTCTGCTTTATTACCCAGATGTGGCGTAAGCTCTTCCATAGCCATACTCACAGTTTGGAGCTGAAGACCCCGAAACTGGGGAACAGCCTAACTGGAACTGTGAGATATTAAATGTCTGTTGTTTTAAACAGAATACCTGCTTTGTGGTATTCTTCTAGACAGTAGGAAATGAACACACCCCCAAGCCTACTCCAGCCCCCAAAGATGGCCTGAACCACCCTAGTGTTCCATGGAATCCAGTTTGAATAAGAAGAAAGACCCCAAGCTCTGGAGTTGGACAGATTTTCTACGTGCTGCATCTACTGGCCCCACTTGGTGCCATCCTGCATGAGTTTCATCTCCCCTCCGAGACAAAATCCAGCTTCTTGCATTTGAAAAAGGCAAGAGATGTTAGCCCTTCACCTGAGAGGTGCACAAAATCTACTAATTTGCTTTAGTGTGCCATGCAACTTAACCCAACCACATTATTATAAGTCTAGTCTCGCAACCAGAACCTCTAACTGGCCAATTCCCAGACTTCCTTTTGGACAGCTCTAGTTACATTCACGCTTGCAAGTGACCTCAAGCCAAGATTCTCAACGCTGAGTTGATATGAGCCACACTCCCCTTGAATACAGTTCTGTTTCCACAGAGATCACACTTATGTGTGTGTGTATATCCATAAATAATATATATAATGTATGATATTGCCTTTCAAGAGCTGTTCCAACTATACACCAAAAATGCAGGAGTGAAACTGAGGCAAAATGGTTACATTGATCTCAGACTCGAAAGTACAGAGGAACACGTACAACTTTCTCTTTGAGGTTTGTATTTACTGACATTAACCTCGCTGGAACAAAGAGAAACAGCCAGCCTTGAGCTGACCTCAGCTGGAAATTAATCAGAGGAAAGGGGGTACCCAGAGGCAGGGGCACACCCACAAACTCAAAGCTCCAGTTATGGGAAGCAAGCCTCTCACACTTCCTATCAGACATACCCCCTGACTCATCATCGAACTTCAACTAAGTGCCTATTTCTTTACCCCTTCGAGTCCAGCCCCGTTTGAGTGTCTGCATCGGTTTATCGAGGATGCTCTAGACGGCTTCTTGGAGGCAGACTTGAAGCTGCTTCTCACTCACTTCAAGGACAGTGGTTCAAGATCACTCAGTGTTGAAGACTTGGTGGACAGTATCAACCAGCTACACAAGGAGTTGCATGCATCGTGCTGTTCCACTCCCAAGCTATTTGTCACTCCATTTCCTACACTGGGAAGTAGATGGTGACCCCAAAACACAGTAAGTGGAAACATTTGTTCCGATGCATCATTCCTGGCAGGATCTCCCATGTCTGACTAGCCACTGAGCTGTTTAGCATTTAAATGAAATCAAGCCTATAGTAGGTGGTGATGGATTAGGAGCCCACAGGTTCTCATCAAACTCATTAAATGACGGGCCTTTTGCATTCTGAGTCCTGGCAGAACCATCTAAAAAAAAATGCATCTTGGCCAAGGACTGATGGGATAACAGAGTAACATTTTCAAAAGTCTTCTTTGGCCAAGATTTCAAGAAAAAGAGGTGTACTCGTAAATGATACCAAAAAAAAAAATGGTAGCTTTTGGTTCAAAATATCTGCATTCTATTAGGCACTCTTTATTTGATTTTGGCTTTGGAGACAGAAAAGTAGTTAATGTTTATGGATAACAGTAGGTTGGAGAGATTAAGCTAAGGGTGACGTGGGGTAGCTGGAGGTGGGGGTCTAGCCTCTGTTCCTGTTCTCCATTCTTTGTAATAGAGATTGTTGTGTCACACTTGCAGGGAGCTAGGGAGTTAGCCAGTGGTCTGGCGAGGGAGAGGACCTTAGCCGCCGTAGATGGCTTGAATCTGTATGTCGGGGGGAGG